TGGATGTACAATACCTGCTGTATGTTGATAGTGAGGATGATTTCACCATCTTCCATCTCTTCATCTCATTGATCTTCAGAGTCCTCATCAAGTAGTTCAAACAGAATCTTCCAACACTTATATCATATGAACATGATCTATTTGGTCTTTTAATTAATCAGCAGGTTATGATATATGAGCCAATCATGCTTTAGAAATACTTTCTTGGTTTTTAGATCAGTGATAGCTAAATCAATCCTTTCTGAGTGATCACTGATAGTGAGTTGTAACTCAACAAACTCAGTAATTGAGCCAGCTTGGTTCTTCATTCCATCAGCATTGTACACAGAGATTGAGGCTGTGATAGCTCTAGTTGGTAATTTGTGCTTGTCAATGAAAGCACAATTGATAGAACTGCTAGTACAGCTGCTGTTGATCAGAGCTGTCACTGTATGTGTGAACTGATTAGTGAGCATTTCAATCTGGGCCTTGATGGTCAAGTCTCAGTCCAGAGTCTTGGTTCATCAGACATATCTTCAGAGTCTGTGTAGTTCATCAAGCCATTCCAGGGCTCAGCATCACTTGGCTTTCCACATTCCTTTCACCATTTTATCAATCACTTCTTTAGCTCTAGTCTTGTGTACCCAGTTCCTGAGCACAGCCTTGGCTTCCTCTTCTGTTCTGGCATCCTTGATGGCTCTCCAGGTCTATTTGATATTGAATGGCTTGAGCTATCTAGTGGGGGTCTCTCTCTCTGTTCAGCTCATAGGCAGTTGAGTTTTTGTTGTAGATAATTCTTTGGTGTGCATAGCAGTAGAGGGTTTGAGTATATTCAAATGCATGCATAATTTAAACATAGGGGTTACTATAGAGATACTATCAGTCTATCCAGCAGCTGTTTGTTGCACACTATAAAGTCCTTTGGCTGATCTAGTGGAATTGCACACTAGTTGGCTCTATCTTTTACTTCTTCTATCTTCATTTCCATGCTGAGCTTCTCTGCTTCCTTCTGCAGTTTGGCAATCTGCATCCAGATGTTCTTGTGCATTCATTTCTTCTTCAGGCAGTCCTTTGACATGTGACTCTTTTAGCCACAATTGAAATATTTTTCTTTTTTTTTTAGTCAATCAATATTTATTGGTTTCTCACTCTCAGTGTATGTGGTCTCTGTCCCTGTCTTCTATGTTCCATAGAAAAGGGCATTAGTTGTCAACAGTGTATTGGTTTTGCTGGTCTGACTGCCAGGCTTCAAATTCATCAGCTGGATTAGTTTATGGTATTTCTGTAGGTTTATCTGTTCTGCCTTCTGATGCTGCCATTCCTTGTACATCTTGATAACATGTTTCTACTATGCATCATATCCCTTCAGAATGTTCATTCTGATATCTGATATCATCTTGATATAGGATGATAGAGCATCCTATTTGAGTGCTTTGACCATTCTTCCATTATTGTCAATGTTGTCTCAGATTCTGACAAGCTTTGCAAGTTGTTCCAATTCATCAAAGTATTCAGTGGCCAACTTATTGCCCATTTTATACTCCTTGATCTTTGTCTTGTGAACTTTTTGCACTGCTGAATCAATAAATTTGTCAGTAAGCATCTGTTTGAATACTGATCATGAGAGTAATTGATAGTGTTTTCAGATTGCAGAAAAAAAGTTTGAGAAGATTAAGATCCACCATGTTTTGGCCTTGTCTTTGAAATATGAGAACATGAAGGTGATGTAGTTTATGTCAGTTCTGAGGAAGGTGATATACACTTCAAAGTATTGTTTACAGTCAATCAGAAATCTATCAATGTCATCAGAAGCACTTTTGAAAGGGCAGAGTTTCTGTAATAGATCAGAATGACATTGTAGAATGGCAGCATTTTTAAATAGAGCCTCTATTGAGTTTAGCTACTGACCAAAGAGGGTTCACCACCATTTGGTTGGTGGTCCAGAGAATGAGTGGAAAGAGTTGTTGTCTGCAATGGGACTCCCTATGGGTGCTACTTTTTTTTGCACAATCACTCTATTTTATATAGTAAATCCTAGTCAGATGGCCTTGGAATCATTCTTGACCAGTTTTTTTTCTGCTGCCTTCAGCTTTATCTGGTGGTGGTTGTCTGCCAAGGAGTTAGCTGCCCTTGCCAGTCTATATGTTTCAGAATCCAATAGGTTGGGTGGTCAGCTGAGGTTAAGATCAGGAGAACTAAGTTGCTGATGTTTGGATCAAGAGAGTTAAGTACAAATATTGACTGGTGTTGATTCAGATAGATGATGCCATATAGATAGCATGTTTCAGGTTCATGGAGAGTGTCTATGGCATTGGCTGGATGTCAAACTTTGATTTGTACTTTGGCAGTTTGCCAAGTTGATCTTCTAGATGCCTTTGGTTATACAGGTTAATAGCATATTCAGTGGTAGAATATTGCAAAATATCCTGCCACTTATTGTTATCTGAATAAATATACTTTTGTTCTATGTTCAAGGCTAACCACTGAGCATCCCTCCATAAAAAGGCTACTCTCTCTCTATACAGTTCCTCATATTCCTTCTCTCTAGTTCATTGTATTTCTTCAACCAGTGCTTCTTTGTCAGTTTCTTCCTCTGAGTATTCTTATTGCTCCCACTTAAGAGAGATGTCCCAAATCCTCTCCTCATTCCCATCCACATCTTTCTCCTCTTTTTCACTGTCCTCAACAAGATAGTCATCAGATAGATCATAAGTTGGAGGGACCAGGAGATGGATGGTCACCAGAGAGCTGGTCATCATTGTTATTGAGAGTACTAGGACTGGGTTGAGCAGAAGGCTGCTCAATGGATCTGATACTGATGTCAGTGTTGCTTTAGTGGCTGCCTTGCACTCTGTGCTCCTCCAATTCATGGCAATATTGGCAGAAGTTTCGATAGAATCTTAGATTAAGAAAGAGGGCCATGATTCTTCCTCTGAAAAATCTTCAAAGCCTCCTATCAGAGATGTAGAGGGACTTAAAGCCTGTAGGCATCAAGTATGGAGTTAGTATGAGAGAGACTGATATCTGTGTCAGCAAGGGTGAAAGAACTACACTCTCTTCTAGTAGGAGAATAAGTGTTCTGCCTAGCTTTGCTAGTGGTAATGACTTCAGCTAATCCTACCCACAGGTCAGTACTGGTGGGAGTGCTGGACTCTTGGAATAGAGAGGGCTCAGACTCAGTTCAGAGTCTGTACCATGTGGGGCTTGCAGATCTCTATATAACAGCTTCAAGTTTTTGCTGTCACTACTTAAACTGACAGTCATACTGCTCTTCATCATGTAGGTTCTGCCTTCAGACTTGCTCAGCCTCAGCTTAGTCAAGATCAGCCTGCTCTTCTGCTGTGCATATTTCTTCAGTAAAATCTCTGGTGTAGTAGTCAATTTTGTTTTGAACAGTTGGTCTTTAGAATATATATCCCCTTCCTAGCTCCATGTCTTCAGTGTATAGATCCTCATGCTCAGAGAGGTTTGGACTCAACTCCAGAGTTACATATAATAAATTGTGTCTGGAGTCCATAGATGAGGTGGATTAGAGTCCTGAAGCCATTCTAGTGGTATCAAAGGAGTCTCTAGCATGGTTTTCAATCCTGTGCTTGATTGAGGCTGTGGAAGAGTCAGGGAATGGCTCATCATTGAAGAAGTCATCAGGGAGGTTCTGGTCCTCATAGTTTGAGACTAGAGAAAACCCTAGCAGAACCCATGGGTTTCTGAATCCCATGAGATGTAGGTTGTTTCTTCTGTTACTGAGCTGAGCTCAGAGGGAATATCAATATTCTTTTTCTTTCTTAGAATCCTACAGATTTATTCTGCTAGGCCTGACTTTAGGTATGGCTCCTGACAGAGGCTGGAAGGAGTTTCAGATAAAGAGAGGGATATTGTGGAGGGGAAAGTTGGATGTGACATTTTAGAGGATCTGTTGGATCTGTTGGAATGCTTGATAGTGCCAGACTATATAGGCAGTGACTGATTGGCATCTTTAATAAAGTTGGATGATTGCCAAAAGCCTTAAAAGCATCTCTATGATGGCTGCTAATAGTTTAAAGAAGTCATCTGTCAAATTGGAGGTTGTAGTTTGTGCAGGTAGCATTTGGTTTTCTTTGCACTTATTGTGTGTAAGGAAAGAGAAGCAGAAGCTTTGAGCTAATTGTTAGACTCAAGTCACATGTGATCAAAACACATGATAAACTAGTATTGTATCATATTTGTACAGTCACACTAGAGTTCACTTTGTTGTGTCCTATTGACTAATATGCTTCAAGGCCTTTGCAAGAAAGCTCAAGAGTAAGGTGATATAAATAAACTTTAGCTCAAAGCTGGGGTTATACAGCGAGAGCTATCCTACTTATATACTACTTGTTCATTAAGATAAATATACTGCTACTTATTGTGTCTGTCCAAGTCATTGTGCTCATTGTCTTTGAGCATCATTACTATCTACAAAAGGACTGTTGTGCATCATCAAGTGTTGTTGTCACATTGAAAGACAATGACAGACTTGGCTTGTTGTGATGACTAAGCTGGTCTCACAGTCCTAAGCACTGGTATAGGTGCCCTGACTAAGCATAAATAGGGGTTACAGCAAAGAGAAAAGGAAAAAATTGTAACAAGTTCTGAAGTGTAGTTCTAGAAGCCACATTATGCAGAAGAAAATACAGTAATGTACTGTGTATGTGAGAAGTAAGTGCAAGGACAAGAGTGCTCACTGCTCACTCTATCTATTTATACTAGTGAAGATGAGTGGCAAGAATCTGTAAGTGAGATGTGAATGATGAAAAGATGATTGACTTTGAAATGAAGACAAAACAAGGTGAGACATAGACTCAAGACATCTAAGCATTGACTTTGAACAACTGCCTCCCTTGTTCACTCAACATTTCCAGAATGTCTATTTCCATGCCAAAAAGGAACCGGCCCCAGCAGTGTCTGTATAAATTGGTACTTGCAAACTCCTTCAATTTCAAAGCACTCGAGTGTCACATCACGTGCCATCGCGTTTTACGTGACTTCTTCCACGTCACACTACACAACCTATATGCATCGCGAGCCGCGACCGGGTCTCAATAACTTAAGTCCATGACAGACGACGAAGTGGTAGAAACTTCAGATCCGGAGGAGTTGGAAGAGCTTGCTGCTTTTGCGCGGCGTACTTGGATATCTCCTAAGGTCGTCACCGCTGCGAATAAAGAGTCGAACTTGAACAGCCCTCCAAGGAAACGTACAAAGGTTGGTGAACCCACTGTTGGGCGATTTTATATGGCTAATACTATAATAGCTATCACATGGTGGCCCTGTTGTTTCAGTGCTCGCTGCAGGGCCAAGCCCTTTACAAAGGTCTACCTTTCGACTTGCTCCTAAGCGACTTTCGAGCCCTTCTTCACCCCTTCTTCAACATATATTGGATACAAGTCAAAGGGAAACTCTGGATTCTGGTGCGTCTGGACAACATTTTGAAGCAGAGGAAGATATAAGTGCTGGGCCAGAAGATTCACAGGACCCTTTGGATTTTCTCCACAGTTATGAGACTCCATCCCCCGGGCCAATGGCTAGTAGCTCCCAAGCAAACCAACGCCTATTCTCATCTTCTCCTTTATCCTTGAATGTACATCGTCGTCCATCGACACCTCCCTCGTCAGCTCCTGCACCTGGTCTGCCAAAGTTACCACTACATAGTCCACAGCCTAAATTCCGTGCCACTTTTTCCCAATCCCCCGAAGCTTCAACGTCGACTCCTCCGTGTTCCACTTCGATTAACACAGGAACCTTCCATGACGATCTTGACGGTCTATCCCAGTTTTCACCTCAGAATCCTCCTGAACCAAACATGCCGTTGTCTTCTCTCACTCCTACCTCGTCGCCAAGGACCAACCGTTCCAGTCCTCCAAAAAATGTTTCTTCTCCTCGCTCTCCACATTCACCGCCAGTCATACTCCCCGAAGAACGCGAAGCTCTTGAGCGCGAAGGCTTCAATCTCGCTCAGAACGAGTCCCGCTATTCTTTCCGTACTCGAAGTATTCGTCAAGTCAAACCGTATGAATATGACAAAGCGCTCTACCAGAATCAACTACGTGACAACCCAGACGCCATCGTCAAGATGAGAAGCCCCCGTCGCGGCGACCATCACCACAGAACTCGCGAAGAACATTATGAAGAAGAGACTCAGGATCAGGAATACGTACATACGGAGCATCATCGAAAGGAAACCTGGAGTCGGAGTCCAGAACACATTTCACGGTTAGGATTGCCTGATCAACTGTCTAGTTCGGACGATGAAGACAAGGAGATGCGCGCGACCCGCAGAGAGTGGAAGAGAGTGGAGAGAGAAAGGAAGGCTCGTGAAAAAAGGGAGGCAGCTGCAGCCGATGAAGAGCGCCGAGAGAAGCGGGTCAATGAACCATCGGTTTCGCGACACACAAGCACTGACATCGTGGTGAAGTGCTCTTCCCAAGTGCTGGAAGACTTTAACCTAATTTATGCCATAGGCTGATCTTCCGATACCATCATCGCTATACAAAGTCGTGCGATCGCTGTCGCCCAGTCGCGCTGACCCACACTCTACCTTCCCGCCACCCCATTCTATGGCGTCTACCAGGTCTTCCCCAGCCCCAAGTGCTCCTGACTTGTTCAATGATGGCGAACCAATGCCATCCAACACGTACGACGCTCCAATTGTCATCGAAGATGATCCTGTTGGTCGTTCACAATCTCCTGATAACGAACCTACCCCAGATCAGAATGCTTCTCCCAGTGGCAGCGATTCAGAAGGTGACTTAAACTCAGAAGACCGAAAACGAATGAAAGTTCTCAAACGAATGTACCCGGCTTTCATGTTGGGAAAATTTGGCGAGCGAAATACTGCTGCCAAGGGCCGCAAATTCCGGCGCCAAAGTTCTCCTGTATCATCAGGTAGAGAGGCAGAGGAAGTCAATATCCTTCCAGGACAAAGCCGTTCTAGGATAGCCAAGGAGCCGCGGTCGAACAGACAAATTCTCGGGGACTCGGAGAGTTCAGATGAGAAATCGCACGTTCCAAAAAGTGGAAGTGACAGGGACAATGACAACGGCGGCGGCGATGATGATGTACCTCGCATTGTTGACGACGACTTATTTGACTTCGAGACCGTGCATGCTGCGCTAGACGTTATCGAGATATCAGATACGTCGGATGACGAAGTCTTCCATGGGGACGATTACAGACATACTGGACAACGACCATTTTCTCAGCCCAAGAGGAGAGACATCCTCAAAGAGAAGGACGTTATTGACTGCATGCTTGATGGTGAAAGGCAGAGGCCCAAAAAGTCAAGAAAGCGTCATCCAGCTTCGTCTACGGGGATTCAGCCTACAAGTAGAAAACACCGATCATCATCGGTATATCATTCTGCTACGGGACATCGGAGCAGCGGAAAGGGACGTGAACGTCAGACTAAGCTGACTTTTCACCAATCAGAGAAGCTTGCATCCTCACGACACAGGCTTGCCTACCGATCGTCTGACTCCGCTGTGGAACCTTCGGCTTCTGATGGGAACGACGAGCCTCGAGTGCAGTGCAGAGACACCGAAAAGGTGGCCAAGGAGAAGAAGAAAAGGAAAGAACAGCGTCGGGACAAGAATGGACTATATATTTTTACGGCAGCCAAGGGTACCAGGATAGCGAACGGATCCGGAAAACGATCCTACAACGTATCACTTAACGTCGACTTGACCGATGAGGATTTCAACAATGCATTAGCGCCATCTTCACAAAGTGGTGTCAATCGTAGAGCAGATGCTCTTCAGCACAAACCGCGCCCATCCGCCTTTTATGACCATGAACCGCAGATCGAAATCGGCGGTTCCCAGCATGGTTCGAGTCATCAAGGTCGTCCGACAAAGTTCCCTGTGGACGTACCGCTCCTATCCCAAGGTATCTCCTTTGCACGGGATAGCTATGTTGGGAAAGGGTGGCTTTTTGAGCTAATGCACTGTCAGTCGCTCGACTCGCAAGTTCCCGACCCAACGCATTACTCCTTCCAGGGAATTACCCTCGCCCCAGACATGTCTATTTCTCAGTTCGCTGACGTGCTTCCAAAGATATGGGAAGGTCTGTTTAACTTTGCCGTCGACATACCCGACATGGATGGTGACGTAACGATCAAAGGATGGAATGGTCTAGCACGTACAGCGTCTCTTCAGCTGTCTCGGCAACTCCGTATCGGCGCGGAGGATAATGCAGGCCTACGAGCGGCTGTCCAAGACGAGATTAGCCGGCTCTTGGAAATGACGCGCGCTCCAGAATTCATCGCGGCGTCAACGGAGATTCCCGCATTGAATCTTTGCTGGTTAGCTGTCGAATGGTCCGTTCGCCTCGGTTTTCGCTTGCCTCTTGCTCCAGAAGATAACAACCCGCTACTAACGTCAATATCTCGCTTAGTTCAATGTTTATCCCAATACGGTCTGCAGCACAGCATGGCTTCAATCCCGGAGAGCGGCCCTTTCGAGACTGTGACAATTGCTACTCGCACTGTTGAGTTGTGGACATGTGTCTTCCATGTTGCTGATACGTTCCGAGAAACGGCGCGAGGTTCCAATAGTGGCCTCCATCCCTTCTGGCAAATCGTGGAACGAGACATATTATCGGAGCCGGTTGGCGCTACCCATCTGCAGGTTAGTGAGTGGATATGGTCAACGGTGTCCAGTCTTTGTGCGCTGTCCCAGTTCTCGTTGCATGGGTCTACAGTATCTTCCCCTCAGGCTCCGGGCGCGTGGAAAATCGTCACCAAGGCCCTGAAAACAATTTGTCTCGTCGAAAACAAAGTCCGTGATGCTGCACTTCAGGAAGAGAGTAAGGCCAAGCGTGATCAGTACATCGGCACTGTTGTGCGACGTTGTTTTCAACTATGGAGCCGATGTCACTGGAAATTGGACGACGTTTCTCCGACTTTGACTCATCTAGCCGACGTCTTCCGAAGTCGACATTTCGCAAACTTGCGACATGAAAAGTTTAATTTACCTGGGTTCATGCGTAACAACGACCTGTCTATGCTGTCCCAAGTTCAAAAGCATGACAGTGCCTTCGTCGTCTTCCTGAAGCTCATCGTCCAGTTTGCACGTGAGACAAGACCCCCAGACCCCTCGGTCTTGCCCATGAGGGTCAAGAAGTTTCTATCTCTTGCTGTGCCTGTTGGAACCTTGGCATTTTCTAAGCGCTCTCCGCCAAGCACCAGTGAGCTATCAATGTTGCATAATCGTCATATTGCGACAGCGATAGCTATCTATCTGGACCCTGAAAATCACGTTTCGCGGATCGCACATGCTCGGTCCTATGTCAAATTTGACGGGGCCGATTTTGGTACGCGCTTGGTCGCCATTCAGGCGTTGATGCATTATTACCGTTTTATGCTCGTGCTCAAACTGCCTTTGGCCGGAGTCACAGAGTGGTTACGGGCCATCGTGGCCATCGTAGTGAACGAATATGATCCTGCAGTAGTCCCCCAGAGGCTTAACGATACCGTTCTACCTGTTCAGACTGTGCTGCGATGTGTACGTCGGATATTGGACGTTTATAATGATCCTGCGACTCGCGATTACCCGGAGCCCGAACTACTCCGTGCGTTGTTTCTAATTTCTATTGACATATTTTCATACTTTGTCAGTGTGCATCGCTAAGATTGTGAGGAACAGCAAGTTACGCCAAGAAGATTGGATCGGAGGGGAGATTGTAGATATACTTGTCCGATTTTTTGATGCAAGAGCTTCAGTCCTGCCTCCTCCTGAACGCCCTCTAGTACCATCGACTATGGAAAGTCAAGGGAGCCAAGATGAATACGGAATGTTTGATTTGGATATGGATGATCCGACCCTGTTGGCAGCTTTAGGAGACAAACCTCCGCCCACCACTCCCGATTTCAAATCTAAAGATCAAGCCCTGTTCAAGGTGACTATCCCTGATTGTCTTGAATCTGGGGGCTAAAATGTGCGCATAGTTCCTTCACGAAATATCTTGGATACCATATCAATTATTGAGGAAGCTATCGTCATCTCTGAGGACTAAAGTTACTGACATCGATCGTTGTATCACAACCTGGTTGGGGTGTGCCTCTGTTGTCGTCCACAACGATAATGACAAGGTCTGCCATGCTTGTTTCTGATGCTCTGACCTTCTTTCTTATTCTATACTATAGAGCTGGGCAACGTACTTCAAATTATTAGACACTGTTGTCAATCTTAACGGCGACACTTCCTGGAAATACTATGTCCACCTGCAAGGACTCTGTTGTATGCTCGAACTTGATCCAATGATATATGTGGTATTTCAACATTTCGATGCTTCTGTCGTCCATCAACTGATGGCGTTTAAACCGCAGGAATGGGGAAACAGATTCTTCGAAGCAATGCTTGAGTCTTTAGTTCCTATCAGCGTCACCGTTGAGCACCGGTTCTTGTCCCGAATATTGAACATAGATCGCTGTCATCACCCTCTCTTGAAGGATGTTCCTTTTCAGCTAAAAGATGACGGCGACTACCATATATCTGAGGAAGACTTCGTATCCTTACGTCCGATCTTCGTGAAAGGTATTTTTGTTATCAGTGTGATGTAGCGATCGTTCAAAACTTCGAAAGGCATCCTTTCTGTCCTCAACTCAAGGCTTTTGGTCCAGAATTTGGCAAAAGAGAATGAACTCTTTGTTGGGTATTGCATAAACCTTTTTTCTCGGATGCGTAGTTCTTACTCGGTGAGCTACTTTCACTCAGCCTAGCGAAATATTGACTAGAGAAACACTAGTCCCTTGAGTCTGGGTCGGAAGGCCTTCACCAATATGAGACATACTGCCAAGAAGTAACGCAGGAATTTCTCCAGCAGCCTTTACTACGCTCGCATAAACGGCTGGACTACTGGTCTGCTTGGTCGAGGGGAATCGGAAGTCCGAGTCGGTAGCTTGGAGATAGAAGGATCTTGGTTTCAACCATGTGTTGATGATAATCATGACGATTGAAGCAAGGTGAGGATTCAAATTGAACCATTCCACTCATCCGGCTCAAATCAATGTGCGGCTGGTAAGTATCAATCTTTGATCTAGGCTTTTTGAAAACTACGTCCGACAACCGTTTTGTTCAGCGCCGAAGTGTAAGACATAATATTAACTGTCCTGCATCGGGATACAGTAGCGCCGTCTAAAAATCCTTCTGGGGGAATTAAATGACCATGCGCCTTCATCGGGTCGTTTGTTTTTCCCGTCTTTTTCAGCGGCGCAACCCTAGATTATGTTCGTCAACCTGAACGGAAGCACGGTTCCGGCGATATCACAACCGAATGCCGCATCATGTTAAGTGTGCCTTGGTTCACTTCGAATTACATGTACTTCCTTTGTTATCCACATGCACCTGGGAATACTTATGTTGGTGCCGATTGCATCATAGACCCGCAGCTATAAGTAGCAAGATCTCTTACCTAGTGCTCAGAAGGTGCCTATGGCTATCTTCCAACCCTCCCCAGGGATTGTGTATCTGTTCAAGATTACCACCCATGTCCTCGTTCTCCCTTGTTCAGTCTTCTGGGCGCTTCAAGCTGGGCTACAACACTTCAGTGTCATTCTCCCTTCGTGGCTTTACTTAGTCGCTCCTTTCTTGTCCCAAATTATCGTTGGTATATTCTGGAACTTGCTCTCCAGATTTTTCATGCTTCGAGATGCTGCTGCCAAGGGTGCCATCATGATGCCCTCCGTTCGGGAGACTAGTCTTTCTATCATACGGAGCATGATCTACAGCTTTAAAAACGGATATCCCGGTTTGTGGAATCGTCCATTGACAGTATTGTTTTTTTCACTGACAAACAGTATACTAGCTGAAAGGATCCAGAAATGGAGCGAGGAGTACGGAAACACCTTCTCTTTCAGCCTGTTCTCAGAGACGCGGGTGAGCGATTTCAGAGTCCTCGGGTTTTCAGTAAACCTCATTCTTACCTTCGCACAAGATTGTCACGCTGGAACCAGAGCATGTCAAGGTAAGTATGTCAGTGGACCCTTCTATCAACCGTCTCATGCGTAATCAGGCCATCCTAGCTACCCAATTTCACGAATTCCAGAAAGGTCTTCATTAACGCTACTCGTATCGCGTCATGCCGTGACAAATAATCTAGGCCCTGGCACTTATGCCATCTTTGAGTCTCTTCTTGGTGCTGGCGTTTTTAACTCGGACGGTAAGAATTTTCAACGACTAGACGCCACAAACAGAATCTGAGTGATGTCTGTAACAGGTGACATGTGGAAGTCAGCATGTTCCAAATCTCGAATCATTAACCCATGATGAACATTCTGATCAGGTTTCACCGGAACATGACCAGGCCGCTCTTCAATAAAGATCGCATCGGTGACTTCGACAACTTTGAGCGGCATGCTACAGGTACAATCGCCCAAATCAAAACTAGGTTGAGGGAAGGCTATCCAGTTGACTTCCAGGTAGGTTCCCTGAGTGATATTAGCAAACATGGGGTAAACGTACTTGCAGGATGTCGTCGCCCGATTTACGTTGGATTCAGCCACGGAATATCTGCTCGGAAAGGATGTCAATTCGATGTCGGCAGGTCTACCATACCCGTCTGGTTCTCCTCTGGCGGATCATCCCCATTTCGTCAACCACCCTTCGAATGCTTTCGTGAAAGCGTTTGCCAAGGGACAAGAGCAAAGTGCTGTTCGACTCCAGGGAGGACGCACTTGGCCCCTTCGTGAATTCTGGGCAGATGCGGTCAAGCCATCGCGAAAGATAGTTGACGAATTTGTCCAACCCATGCTAACTGAAGCTCTTGAGAAGAAGGCAAAAGGTTACAAGGCGGCCAGGTCCGAGAAGGACATTGGGGAGGATATGTCATTGTTGGACAGTCTTGTAGAAAATACTGATAGTATGCGTGAAGTCCCGTTTATCGAACTCAAAATATGTGCTAATTATCACTATTTTTTCCAGATACCAAGATCATCCAAGACGAGCTCCTGAACATCCTTGTAGCCGGAAGAGATACAGTAAGTGAATGAGACTAGTCCGATTTCAACTCGACTTAGCGGAATCCACGATGCAGACCGCTTCCCTTCTTACCTTCGCAGTATATATGATGTGTGAGCATCCGGATATAGCTGCCCGTCTACGTTCAGAGATACTGGCAAAAGTTGGTACACGAAGACCAACTTACGCGGATATTCGTGATATGAAATATTTACGAGCGTTCTTAAACGGTGTGCTAATTCATACACCTTATTGCGACTACTCATCAGACGTGTATTATAGAAACGTTGCGGCTGTATCCACCTGTGTATGTGACGCTTTCCCTCCGATCTTAAAATGGCTAACTGTGTTAAAAACTCAAGCCCGGGAAATTCTCGGTAAGGAATGGGTGTTCTCCCTAGCCTTCTTGATTTCCTCTATATGTCTTAGAACTGCAAAGGTGCCGACCACTCTTCCGAACAAAGGGTGCGCACCATATTACATTCCCAAAGACACGAGGTCAGTAAGGCTTTCAGTGCTACTTGGTACACTGTCTTTTAAGTGTTTCACTTTTAATGCCCTACTATAGGGTAGTGTATTCTGTATTCTTGATACACCGACGGACGGACTTGTGGGGCCCGGACGGTAGGTTGCAGGTATCTTTCAGCTTAGCTTTAGTGATTCTAGCGCCGACTATGTCCAGCTCTCGAGTTCGATCCGGACCGTTTCCTCGATAGCCGTCTGCACAGGTACTTAACTCCGAATCCGTTTATTTTCGTCCCCTTCAATGCGGGTCCGAGAATATGCTTGGGCCAACAGGTGAGAGTGTTTAGTTTGCTTTCTATTGCAAGCATTCAAATTAACTTACTTATTAGTTTGCTTACAACGAGGCCTCGTACTACCTTATTCGACTCTTGCAGACGTTCTCTTCTTTCAGTCTTGCCATGGATGCTCAGCCAGTGGAAGGCACTCCTCCGGCAAGTTGGGTCAAGTCTTCTGGAACGACCAAAGGCAGGGATAAGATAATGTTCGGATTACACCTGACAATGTACGCCAAGGTATGCATTAGAAAGTCTTCTGAGACTTCCGCTTCTACCTTTCCATCTCACATTACTGACGTTGCTTGATAGGCTGGGATGTGGGTTAGAATGGAAGAGGCAAAAGACGACGATTTGGAGGCGGCCGTATGAGCAACATGACAGGAGAAATTTAGTTTGTTTAATCAATATGACGATGATATTAGCTTATGCTTCTGACTTGAATGGATTCTATTCACACAGTGAAGCACGCCAATAACGAACACGGTGCTTGGAAGAAAAACAGTTAGTGAAGCATGCATACTAACGAAACGATTTAAATTACAAGTATGTCCAAAAGCCTTGCGATACAATCAATGGAAGCTACACCCCTTCGAAAAATGATAACTCTTGAGCCGACAACCCCCCCGTCTTCATTGAGACTGCGTTATTTGACGTCGGTGTGTGAACATGATTTTGTGGCGGCCGCAACAGAGGTGCTGATGCAGGCTGCATCGGCGCAAGTATCTCAGGAGACGATTGTGATACGGTCAGCGTACCAATAGCATTTATCTGCGCTTGTTGCATCGGCAATGATATACTCTCGTCCCCACCGAAGATATCCAGCTGAACTGCCTTTTTCACACCGCCAGGCGGAGGCTCCAGGGGGGGAGGAATGGGAGAGGGTGGTGCAGGCCACTTCCCATGAGCAGCAGCACTCTCCATCAAACTGAGCGTTCGCTGATGCTCTGACCGATTGACCTTTCGTTTCTGAGGAGGAAGCTGTGCAGGTGATCTGGTTGGAGACCTGATAGGTAAGCTCGAGGCCAGCATGATTTTGGGAGGTCGAGCGCTCGAAGTTTTCTCTGGCACGGCGGGCGGAGATGGGGTACGTAACGGGGGTTGCACGAAATCATCAAAATCATCAAAACCGTCCGCGTTATGCGGACCGTTGCTACTTGCGGAAGAGAAGAGGCTTTGCTCTGACGAGAAAGAGGAAAAGCTTGCGTCAGCATGCGCGGACGATGAAGCTCCATCGCCAAGTGCTGGGATCGTATGGAAGTCAGAAAATTCTTCGTCAAACAGCGACAATTGTGCCGTAGCATTTTGAGGCACTGGACTGTGTAAACAAACTGCTGGAGCGGTTGATGGTGGGCTAGGGACTGGCGTCTGCTGACGGGAAGTAGAAGGCGGTGGAAGAGTAAAGGAGAATGGCGGGACTGCGGATTGCATGATGGGATTGGAAGACATGATGGCTGTAGGTATTCGTTTGGAGAGTTGAAATGGGCTCGGGGTACTGCACAAAGTCGGCGAAGGCATTGGCTTGGTAACAGGTGTCGTGTTTCGAGAAGGCACAAATCGTGAGCTCTTCACCGTTTCCGGCGCTGAGGGTACGAGTATCATGGTGTCCATTAAGGAGGATGCCTGTAAAGATGACTGGAGAGGCTGAGAAGGATAAGATAGAGGTAATATACCCAGTGAGCCATCTGGGAGGATGGTGTTTGACTTTGGGACACCGTTAGCTAGGCGACTCTTTGATGGTGGAGCCAGCGGAGGTGGAAGTTTCTCAGGTAGGGGGGGAGACTCAACCATGCTTAAAGGTGCTGGAGGATCTACATCGTCACTCACACTAGGAACAATGTCAGACAAGAATTCTAGATCATCTGATGATAACGCAATGGAATTCCGAGGGCTTATTGTGGGCTTGGTTCTGGAAAAGCGAGTTAAGAATCGGGAAACAGCTGAAGGAGGTGGTGTAGCTGCGCGATCAGGCGGTGGCGGCAAAGAACTTGAAGGGCTTGCAGATGGGGCTGGCGATAAAGGTGATGAAATTACGGGTGACGAAGAGGAAAAAGATCTCCTGTGCGTATCAATACTGGTCCTAGGAGATACAGACGCGCCCGTATTGGCCTTGGCCACTGGAGAAACTGGCCTGTCCGTAACGGGTGGGGTCATAGATCGACGACCGAAAAAGGATAATAAACCTCCTGCTGATTTCTGCTTTGTGTCCATCACAGACGGAGCAACATCCTTTTCCTTCGGTATCAATCGCCACCCCGCGGGAACAAAATCATCTTGTGACAATTCAGGCTGGGCCTTCACAGAAGCCTCCCAGGCTGTGGAACCCTTTGACGCCACGTAACGGGCCAGAGGACTAATCCTTACCATGGGGACATGTCTAGTGAACTTCAAGGTTTCTGCCGTTCTCTTGGATATGAACGTCCTTGAGAAGTCGGCATGGGGCGGAATGGTGAGGTTGTCGGGCACAATTTTCTGAATAGCGGAAGAACTTTTCATACCGTGTTAGTGCCGAGATATTTTCCGAGAATAAAAACCCACAGGTCCTGCATATCCTCAATAGACTGAAGATTGGCTTCGTCCTTGTCGTCCGACTGATCAGGCCATAGATCATGAGACAATTGCTCGAATCGCTGTACAACGGAGGCCAGCAATTCTGGAGGCTGCATCATTTTAGACGAGTCACGAAAGGGTGAGCGAGATAAACATACAACATGAGAATCTCGCCTTGCTTTCTCCCGCTTTGCAATGTCCCATTCATCGAAAAGCTCTGTTTCGGAACCCACATCCGCGGGGGTCCAGTCGGCCTCCCAAGAACTTGAAGCTGGATCAGATAGGTCGGGAAAGGATGGCTTGGATGGTGTCCAGAGGTTCGCCTCTGTGTTACCCATGCGAAGACCAGTCTCAAAACTGCCAAATGCATCTGGGCTTCTGGGTCGTGATTCTGGCCGGAAGTCCTCAGTACTCTCGCCGCGAAAAGATGGCAGTATGAGTGACGGAGGATTAAAAACGCTGGTTTCTACCTCTGGCGACGCAACAGGAGAGTCATGAGGTGACCCAGGTGATGAAGGAACATTCTCCTCCAACGTCACGTCCGGCTCGGCTGTCGATTCCATTTGCTTATGGTCAGCGTTGGCCAACGAAAACTTGCTCTTCAACTTCTCCCCCCACAATGAGGTATGTATATCCGTCGGCTCATTCCACTGGAGGGTAGTGGATGACCAGGAAGGAATACCAATATCGGCTTCTTCATGGTCACTGTCCGAAGTGGCAGGAACAGACCACCGTGTAGGAGGTGATGGGGAATGGTGAGGTCGTGTATCGTCTCCCCAAGCATTTGTCCAAGGATTGTCCATTCAACAATGTTGAGCACGATGCAGGCAGATCATCAAATGGGCAGGGAAGGACCAGGCCCGGATGCAGTTTGAAATTCAAAACGGGTCATCACGTGCATGACATTTTGCAGTGCAGGATCCTCTGCTTCTCTCCACCACCATGGACGGCCAAGCTGAGCGCAGCATTGTCGATTGGGATGAGAACGACGTACACAACTGGTTAACAAATCTCGGCTACCCGCAATATGAAAGTCAAATTAAGGGTATGTTTCGTTGGCATTCCTGGCGACGGCCTCTAAATTCTCTCACAGAACACAGAATATCCGGTGATGTCCTTTGCATGGTCGACGCCGAAACCCTCAAGAACGTTGGAATAGCCACCGTTGGACAACGTCTCGCCATTCTTAAAGCCGTGTACATGATAAAACTTGCCCATAATGTTCCGTTAGAAGCCGACGACTATGTACCGCCTTGTCCGTCCGCCCATCTACCTTTCCTTATCAGACTCCCTGATATATTCACTAGCTGAAGCCCCAGAGCGCTTAGGGGATGCGACCGTAGAGAAACTCCATGCCACTGTCAGGGATCAGGGTGAGACGGCTATTATTCTTCCGATACTAGTTATAATCTAGGCTTCCATTCTCCAGCCGAAAGATTGCGTATTTTGGAAGAAGAGAATCGAAATATCAACATCACTTTGCAGTCATTCCTTGACGACTACAATAATTTCAGAGGGTCAATAGGACGATCGGTACGTTCTCTTTCGGGTTTTCCCTATATCAGTCTTCCATAACTTCACAGATTCATCAGGATGATAGCAGTCCACTTCGTCGACAGCCTTCGTTTAAATGGGCGCAATACGTCAAACCTGCCAAGTCACCAACCAAGGCCGACCTTGACACCCCCCACTCATCCCCGCAGCAACTCGAACACGATATAGCTCCGTATGCTCGTTCCAACGGACAGCCGCCACTACCAGTTCCTTCCACTTCCTCAGCACCGGAGAAGTCACGGTCAGGTTCCTCCTCCGAGTCCCCTAATCCGAACCAATCTGTTACGAAGCCGTTACGGCAGGAGAGTTCGGACAATTTGAAGAGCTTCAAAGTCAGTCTAGACGATCCAACGTGGAAGGTCCTTCCGGCCGCACTGAAGAAATACCGCATCAATAATGATAACTGGGAAAACTATGCTATGTTCATATGTTTCGGGTCCGCAGGTACGTCGACCACCTTCCTTACATTTCCTTTGATCTTGATCCGTTCATAGGCAGTAGGATAGAACGCTGTCTCAGCTACGACGAAAAACCCTTGCTCCTCTTCCAAAAATTGAAGGAAGGCAAGAAAAACCCCGTCTTTATGTTGAAGCACATCAAAGATATCCGTTCACCGATAGTTGTTGCTCAACAAAAGCACGCTGCTCGGAAAGCATCATCGGTTATGTCCAATGATGGAACAGCCACCGGACCCAGTCACGGGAAGCCCTCACGTCCAATAACACGGCCACCGAAGCTTGAGGTACAAGATCTTTCAGCGCCTGCTCCACTACCTACTAGTTTGAGCGGTTTGAGCCCTCAGCCAGGATGGCCAGAACCTGGCGTTGCCTCACCATCTGTGGACCCAAGACTCGGTGAGGATGCATTAGCGCCAGGATCGGCAACCACACAGAATACACTGCAATCAACGAACTCAGCGATGACCGGAACAACCGTTGTGGCTAGCTCAAATGGACATGATGGTGTTAAGGCCCCACCAGAGCAATCCCACAGTGGGCGGGAATTGCCAGTCGCTTCATCTGGGGTATCATACGCAGTAGCGATATATCCCTACATGGCAGAACAAGAGGATGAATTTGATGTCGTTGTGTAAATATTACGATCACGTTTCCTTTTATCCATGCTTTACTGATATGTACGATCTAGCGGTGACACCTTCGTTATACTCTCACGAGCTCGAGGCTGGTGGGTCGTGCAACGCGATCCAACAGGGTCCGGGATCGTAGATACGGATATTGTTAAGCAAGGATGGGTACCTGCAGGCTGTTTGTTGGAAACTAACGTTCCCGTGGCTTCCGCTATCGCAGAGGCTACAGCCTCCAAGAGCAGCACAGCTATCGTTAGCGGTTCACCCCCGGTGACGCCGGTATCGAAGACGCCCATTCTTCCGTTGAGCATTATTTCGACGAGTTTCCCGGGAGTCGCATTAATGGACTACAAGAAGAAGGGAGAAGAGGAGTTGGATTTGGCAAAAGACGATGCTCTGCGAGTCTTCAAGCGATATAACCATTGGTCTTACGTATGTAGCACTACATTTTTTTAGCGACACGCCACTGACTTTATGTTAGGCTGTCAAAGAAGAAGGAGGAGATCGTGGCTGGGTGCCGGTTAGTTTCTATCTGGCTCGTCTCCTGATGGTATTCGTAATTATCTTTTCGTCTAGTCATGGTTCATAGGGAAGGTTGCAAATAGTGGCCTTCAGCCTGCCACACCAAGTACCAGCGCACCTGCTCCCGTATCATTGGATGATGCCAACGGTCAACCATCGCCAATGTCGTCTGCATTTCCCCCAGTTCAACAACGGAGCACGACGGCAGTAATTTGACGCATCCGTATCCACTATTCACTTTTGCTGGGTTTTTGGTTTGATCTCGGTTTTTTACGTTTCTCACGCTATCTTTTTGTCTTCTGTCATATTTACGCACTTACATTGTATTTTAAATGCAGTCCTCGTCGTTTTGGAGCATTGCTCCCTCCTTATTGACTCTTGAAGCGTAATCATAAGTCCGGATCCGCCATCCTCATTCCATCGGCGCTTGGGTGCCCGATGGCTCCAACTTATATTACATAAACCTGCTTTTGTGCAACCTATATGTTCCTAATTCAGCTACCTACACACTCTCTCACTAGACCAAATATTACGGAGGAACATATATCAACTATGAACGTCATACAAAAGCAGACAGATATAAGTACAATGAAACGCAAATACAAAATGTAGGTTGGTTAGTCATGAAGGAAGCGAGCAGTAGTTAGGTAACGTATCCAAAAATTCCAGTGATCGTACATATAACAAAGAGCAAGTTCAACGCGTGTACAACAGGGTGAAAGGAGATGTCTGGACACCCTCATTAATGGCCGTGTCGCCACCGTGTGTGCGCAGTTTCATGACTGTCCGAGTAGGATGGGTCTGGAGCCGAAGGCCCGGCGTTCACTTCTGCCCGCGTCAACGTCAAATCATGAAGACATTAATGCCAAGTACTGACCAGGATTATGATAAGAATTTGGACGAGTTGAGTATGGCGGTGGCGGGGGCATACTAGATTGAAGAACAGGTGGAGGCGGAACATTACTAGGGTGCGCAGGCGAAACATAACCACGAGATGGAGGTTCAACAGCTTGCGGCTGAGGTTGCTCAACACCATTGAGCGTGTAAATTGACCTTCCGTCAGGATACGTTATAGTAACATGTTCATTACCCTGGAATGAAAGAAGATCGTGAACGTGAAATTCGAAATGACAAGGGAAATTAACCCACATCCCAATCTCGTCGCTTGCGTTGGCTGTGGGTCACACCGTTAATCGTTTGCGTCACAGTGCTCTCACTTGTCCAACGTCGCTGACCACCACCGCCTACCGAGAAACGTGACGCCCGCGAAGTTTCAACTGCAGGGCGTGAGAGGGCGTGCTGCTGCATTGATCTTCCAATCGAGAAAAGACCACCACCCATGCCAGACAAGAGGATGTTGATGCCATTTCGACGACTAGAAGTAAATGGATCATCATCAAAAACCGAGTTATCTGTGAAACTTCGCCGAGGGGCATAATCGTGCGAATGATGGTGGGGTTGGGTATTGAAAAAGTTATCGAAGAGAACAAATGGGTCAGTGAACACAAATGGATCTGGAATACCCGTCTCTTCATAAGGGGATGGAGATGATGAACGATAGCGAGGCTGGGATCTATAGCCGTCATGTCTGGTCCTTGGTGGGGGAGGAGGCGGAACCTCCGGGGGCGGGTACGAGCCATGTAAGTCAAAGATCTGAATATGCCATGCGGTTAAAACGGGGCAGAAAACAGACGCAAAACACGCGTACTCTTCGTTTCTCGGCATCGATAAGGACCTCGTAGGCATTGTTTACCTGTTATACTAAATAGGAGCTGTGAAACGGAGTAAGCAAGCCCAGGACATACCTGGCGAAATTTCTCCGCAGAATGCTGCTTTTCAACAGGAGATGCATCAGGAGCAAGCCGGTCAGGATGCGTCTTCAAGGCCTTCTTCTTGTATGCTTTGCGAACTGGTTGGTATTCAGTGAGCATATAAGGATACCTGATTGGAGAGAAACCCTACTTTCTTCCGGAGTTGCATTGGGATGCAAATCGAGGACTTGGTAGAGATTCGTTGCCATTGTCGTGCAAGTATAGCGGTGAAAGAACGAGGCGTTGGTGACGGAAGGAGGTCAAGATGCAAGGCGTCTATTCTCGTCTATTTCAGGTCACGGAAAGAGCTCGAATTCGGTGATCGGCATATCACGTGATACAAAGATGACGTCCACTACGGACCAGTTTTTTCGGCTCAAATTTTTACTCAAATTGGATGCATGATGCATTTCCATGAAACCATATTTTGCGCAACGGCATCCACCTCAAATGGCCCTGGCAACGTCGCTATTCATGATATACAAACTGGAACTCCCTTGGCCTCTTTCAAGCAGACTAATGCCAGTGCACACTGTACCGCATTCGTCGAGTCTGGCGATTCGCAGGGAGGCTTCATCTTAGCGGCCCAACCAGATAAATCGCTTCTTAACATGTACAACTTTCAAAAGGTCCGTCGTACTCTCTCCTGGCAGCTTGGCGAACTCCATAATGCCAGTAGGACCAAATTAGCTTGAAAATGGTATTACCAGAAAAGTTGTCTTGTGTCGCTGTGGATCGCAGGGGAGAATATGCGGCCGGAGGAACATCGAATGGTCGGATATATCTGTGGGAGGTAAGTTTTGTACTCTTGTCTAGTGCCACAAGTATCTCTGATTTGAAGGTGTCCTCTGGCGTCCTTTTCAACTCGTGGGACGCTCATTATCGCGACATAACGGTATTGCGATTTACTCAAGATGGCGTTGCATTGATATCGGGTAGCCAGGACTCTGGCGTGAGCGTCTGGTCCGTATCCAGGTCAATTTGGAACCTAGTTGGGAAACTTGACAAGCTTTAACTTTTTCATAGACTGGTGGACGATGACTTTCAGAATGAACTCGTCTTGCCTTATTGCACCTTGGCCGATCATACCCTTTCGGTCACAGATATCGTCTGTGGTCTTGGCACTTTCCCTACGTGCAGAGTGCTGACTGCGTCCATTGACCATTCAGTCAAGGTATTTTCGCATTATAGTTCTAGTTCTCTTCGCTCTGACGCGTTTCTAGCTGTGGGATCTGTCCTCTAAGTCGCTTTTGACTGTCTTTCAGTTTCCCAAAGCAATCGCTTGTCTTGCTTGGGACCCTACGGAACGCTTGTTTTTCGCCGCATCATCGGATGGATCTATATACCAGATGAACCTCTTCAGACAGTCCAAAGACACAGTGAAAGGGCGCACTATGGAAGCCATCGGCGGCGCTGGTGTTCATGACATCATTCGCATTGATGATGAAGGACCCTTCCCTTCAAACAAAAGGCTGATATCCGTTGGGTTAGTTTCAGCTATCTCCGCCGGACCTATGACTTATCCTGTGCACCTCTAGCCAAGACGTTACTTGTCTCGCGATTTCATTTACAGGTTCGCTCCTATTGGTAGGAACCTCCGTAGGGTTAATCCACATCTATGATATCGCATCTCATCAACTACTGCGTGCTATCTCCACACACAAAGGATTCTCAATAACTTACCTCGCAACCATGCTCAAACCTCCGGATCTGATTGGTCATATCAATCTCACCATGAATTTTGCAGATGCTCGAGATCTTATCCCCGTGAAGCCAGTGCTTCCCTTCCAGAGGATCCGAGACGCGAAAATACGTGACATGCATGAGGTGTCCCTTATCCTTCCTCCTAGAAATGCGGTATGACTTCTTCGCATTTATCTATATCATTATTCAATTATTCCGTTCCAGGAATACGACGATGAAATAACATTTTATCCTTTATCGTCTTTCCTTCGTGACCAGGAGTTCTTTGTCAAGCCCTTGGGCTCTAGCAATAGAGAAGTAGACCAAGACGCAGTTTCTTTGGGTTCCAGGGTGACAAATCTCGAGGCCGAAGTTGTCCATCTTAGAGAGCAGCTCGGGAAGGCAAAAGGGTTGAATGATATGATGTGGGATACTGTTGTTCAACGTGTTATCGGTCAACCTAAGACGAAGAGTACACCCGCTGATGCCACATACTCTGCGGAAAGCGACAGGCCCCGTAAACGTGGTCGGACAAACACATAGTTAGAAAATAGCAGACATCTGTATAATCTTGGTACACCGATGTTCGCTGATTCTACACTGACGACACAGATATACTTTTTCGTTCCGTTTAATGACGCTATTTCCAACACATTCGATGTTCGCACCACAAAGCTTGTCTTCTAAATGAGCCCAAGACCGATTTTTCCGTATTCTCTGAGGTAAGAGCCTCCTCGGATTAGGTCTACCATATAACGCTCCACTGCTTGTGCAACATTCCGGGTGCGAACAATGAAGATAGATTATATATAAACGAAGTCCTCTTATCGAGAAAATCCAAGCAACTAATGCGAGGACTTCTCTCCTTCAGTCTGATTGACAGACCTCGCTGTCCGTACCGGCTTAACGTGAATTACTAACGGCGTCTTCTGACAAGGCGACTGCCGTGATATACTATGTGAGTCTTGTGCATGGGCTCATTTTTGTAACAGCTCACTTGCAGAGATACCTAGATTCGTTCTATTTCAACTAATGATCCCGTCAAAAGATAAATCTGGCGCGATGTGGATAACAGTGGTATCTCTGAAACCTCTGTTTATCAATGATGCTATCTTTGTAACTGTGGACACTACCCGTAGTGTTGTCGGAGGCGACGACGATATCATTGCAGCATCTCACCTCGGTCCTAACATGACAGCATCCACTCAAGTGATCTAGATATTTTTTGTTCGAATATCCAGTTGCCGTCCCGACTGCTTCAAATGGAGCAGGAACCGTCTGGACCAAGATCTTCGGGTCGTATGCGTATGACGGCACTTGGGGCGCTACAACGCGTCTTATCTCAACAATGAGCACCCAGTCAACATACGCTGGTCGCAATCCCCGGCGTAGCCGCAGGTGACAGCAGCATCTTACCTACGAAGATTATTGCCCTTCACGAAGCCTGCTTATTCGTTATACACGTAGAATTCATCCAAAAGAGTCCGGGATGTGGCACCTCCGAGTCTGGCAGTGGTAGGATGTACGTTAATTGCGAATACTCTTTTCCAGGAACACACTCCGATAACACGGGAATCCGAACATGTATGATCAAAATCCCACCGCCTATGTCGCTCCTGGTCCCAAGTTCGTTGGGTAGTAGTATCAATCAATTCGGGTAGCTTAAATAGCTCTGTAGCTATCAAGCTGTTTTGTTTCATCCTAGTATGGATAGTGTCTATGATTTTATTATCTTTGACTTGTGTGAAAGCATTCCTCGCACATAGCCTACCGACTTGCTACGTCCACGGTCATCACAGTGCTAACAAAGGCATCCAATTTGAAACATTTACAGAAATGTTCCGAAATTGCGGCGAAGGACAGAGTTCACAGGAACACAGATAAAGAAATATATGTCAGAAACCTTTATTGATTTTATCCTCTATTCCCAGCAATTGGCAAAGACTGCGAGTTTGCGGGTTGGGATACATAGCCGCTACCAAGAAAAGAAAGGGTTAGCTAACATGTTTGTTACAATTGGGACAGAACTACTGACGCTGCTCACACTTCTGGTCACCCTCACTGCCGGGCCCAGGTGCGGTTAGACAAAACTGCTGGCCTGACTCAACTGTTTTTTCTGAACCGACATTCTTTTTCACCCATTCAAGCTCCTTACGGACCATTTCGCGTGCCTCTGCCTCGTCAGGGAATGGTCGCTGATACCGTGTGGTTGAGAACCAAGGATTGAAGGCCCGCGTGATGGCCATCCATTCAGGATCGAAGCATAGAACGGGCGGATCAGTCGATTGATCTTTCGGCGAAAGTATATCAACAACCTGGCAGCAGGATTAAATTACACAAGATAAGTGGCCATTGGATCCGTACCTCCAGAAACTGTTTTTTGGGCATACATTTATCCAAGGCTAGATACTTGGTTTCAGATCGAAAAGTAGATATTGGAGAAGTCACAACTTCGACTTCCTCGTCATCCAAAGATATTTCATCTGGATTGTTCCGTAGCGGCTCCATTGAAGGACTGTCAACATCCTCATCATCGATGGTTATTTCATCCGGATTATCAGCTTTAGCCGGAGGGCCGGGGGATGACAGACTTTCATGAACAACGGTCGCCTCAAATCGTACGTGCATGTGCGCCGCAAACCACCAACAAGGCTTGAGTGTGCGAAGAAGCCCCATAAGCGGTGGGGCCCCAAACGCACCCTGCTCTATCTCAGAACGAAAGTGTGCCTTGCGTCTGATGAGGCTTTGGACGTCTCCATGCTGATCTATGGATTGTGGCCAGTCATGGGACAGAACAACATCAGGGTTTGAGAGCTAAGCACGGCAATCGGTGAAAAGTGCTGAAGATAAAGCGTGCAGAAGACAGACAAGAGACAGTCTTCGAATATTGAATTCGCGGATGTGATATATGCTTCTGATCGTACTGGAGTCATATGGTATCTTTTCGTAGCTTCCTACATAAGGCATGAAGCGAATGAGGTTGAAGAAATGACAGCGACCCCACCTGATGAGAAGTTGTATCCCTTGAATATCCCGGATACACCAGCGATACGTATGCCATTCACTTGAACACATCCGGCGTGCCCAAGAAAGTAGATATTAGGGGCTACCCATCCACCATGATAACTAGAATCGCATTTAACCTCAGCGTCACGATTCAGAAGGGGAGAAAAGAACACGTACAGTTCCCACATGTAGTTCGAAGCTTCATGATTCCCCCCAATAATAACAGTAAGAATGGGAGCTGTCTTCTCACCGGTATAATACCTGGATTGTACGACGGTTAAGTCTGATAAATCATCCGTAAAGGAGTATAGTGCACTTGTGGAATGTCTGCAGAGCCTTGTACTTATTTGGAACGGCCATACATTGCAAATCGCGGTAGTTCCTCACGGCCTGGAAATCACCGCAAATAAGAAGAAGATTGACTTTATACGCATGTTGCGTTTCTAACTTGGAGATATGCGCGTAGATATCATCAAGCTCGCCGTGACAGCATCCTTCGACTGCTACCTGAATTAAGATTAATGTACATTGTACCGGAATTTCAACAGCGAAATACCTTCATTGCGCGGATTTGTGGTAGCGAAGGTGGTGGTGGTGGTAAAGTAACCCTAACCTTAGGTCAGGAGGCAGTCTAATAGGCTAACAATTTCTATAATTGCATTAAATCCCATCGGACTCCGACCATCATGTGGCGCAGCGTCATGGGTTGCTACCATGCCGCCTTGATTGTCGAGTTTCTGCAGCCTGTCTAGAGCCTAAAATTACATTATGCACACTATGCATAGTACATATGATATAAAAGCTACTTGTTATACTGCATCTTGAATTTCGAACACTGGACTCTACCAGCGGGCTTAATCACAAATATAGCAATGTCATCCTTTACGGGACTTCTTCTTGGTAGTTTGTAGCGAGGGAACCTGAATGGTTCCACCCAGAGCCTCTCCGGCAATGCCATCTCCACTCTCGATGTGAGTCTTAGCCTCCAGATAAAACATCACATCGCGAAGCTGATCCTCCAAATCCCTGATTTTGGCTTGAGCCTCCATCGACTGGGTGTTCCCAACTTCCACCTTCTCCTTCATTTTCCCCAGATTCTTCATCAAGCCTTCGCTCACTGCCCTTTCCTCATCCAGTTCTTTCTTCAACCTCTTCGCCAACTGGCCCATCGTGTCGGCTCTACTCTCAGCCTTAGTTTTGTCTTTGATCAATTCTGCTGCACGGGCTTCCTCTTCTTGCATCATTCGTTGCTCCCGCTCCCTCAGGTCCACCTGAGCTTTCTCAAAATCTGCGGAGAGCTTCGATACCATCTGTTTCAGATCATTGACTTGGGTTTTGAGCTCTGCGGTCTGGTCCTCGTAGTAGGACCTTTGGGAATCCAACTGAGAGGTCAACAGGTAGGAGTACTCGATTCCGATGGCTTCTATCTTTTCGGCACTGAGCGCGTCAGCGGGGCTCGGTCCCAAACCACCTTCTCTGGGGCTCGTGCCCATGGACGAGGCCGCGCTAGGAAGCTCTACTAGCTTCCCATCAGCTTTGTTTTGGATGAGACGGTGAACGTATCCGTCTCCAGCATAATCCCAGACACGTTGTGTTTCCAGTTCCAATGAGTAGAGATGTGTCGTCAACTGATAATGTTCCTGAGCATGGGCACGACCATATCTACCACAGCCAATATTGCCGCATATAAGACAAATCCAGAGGTTGGCGGTAGATGAGCAAGAGGAACATGATGACAGAGAATATGTAGAAGGATTTGCAAAGGGAATGGAACGGGTAGAAGAGGAAGACGTCGGATGGGACGTAAGAAGCGTCTGAGAGTATCGGCATACCGGGCACCTGCGAGCAGTTATTACACGCCTGACGATGTTGTCGAGCTCCACGTACCTGCTGTCACCCCACTTACTCAAACACATACAGTGGAATGTGTGAGAACATGGAACAGTAATCAATCCGGTAACTGCGGAGTCCATTCGCTCCAAACAGACAGGACATGTAGGTAGTTCATATGATGACCCCGGACCAGAGGTAAGACGTGATATTGAATGCGATACATGGTCATCCATCTTTATGTTCACGGACAAAACATGAACAACATGGCATATTTCTGGCTGGTAGTAGAATGTCAAATTTGTTAAGATACAAAGTAGCTGACGACACACCTCCATCGAGTTGAATGGCTTGCCGTTATATGCCTCAATAAATTCGGTGGCATCCTCCCGTTTAAGAAATTTGATGATGACTATCGAGCGATTTGGAGCAGAATCCCTGCGTAGGATAGTCGAAGAGTGTAGATAGGTTAACAAAAAGACAACACGAACCGAATCATACGCAAGTGAGATATACTTTCAGCGGCAGGGGCTACAAAAGCCAGGAAATCAGATGGAGTCATCCACGATGGTACAGCCAATACGCCGAGCATGATCTCATCTGTGTCAGCATTTGTGTTGGTAAAGGTGGGCGTATCCTGTTCGTCGGGTTGTTTGGTAGACTCCCGGAAGACATGAACTATCCCTTCCGATAAATTGGTGGACCCAGTTACTAGTTGAGTATTACTGGGTACGAACGTTGCTACCTCCGGTTCTGCGCTACGATGTCAGCGAACACTTGAGGAAATACACCGCATGGGATCAATGAGACTCACCGTGACTATATGCTTTTTCTTTCCCTACAGCGTTCGTGGTAGATATACCCATTCTGTCCGACCAATCTAAACGTATGGGTCCGAACCGGTAATCCTTATTCCAAGGGTTGAACGTAGCGTTACGACGGGTAGTCGAAAGGGGTTTGTGAGAAGGAAGACGCTGAAAGAAAGATGGGGGAATAGCGGGGTCAAGCGAGTGTTCTTTCACGATAATTTGAATGTGATATCCTCGCATGGCAGCTAGCACGCCAGTATTACTATTGGCATACCAGGAGATGGTGAAGAGGAAAGACGCGCGGCAAATACGGCAGTACACCCCGGCGGCAGTTTTGGCAATTCTATATATACAGCTGCAATGAGAATGAGTGGAATAAGGGCAAATACTTACACAGTACCGGGTATGTCAAGTATAAATCCTTCGAGATCGGTAAATACATCTTTTCCTGCTCATCATGGCTTTTAGTCATGTCTACTCTTTAGATTGCAACTTTGCAAGAACAGTGAATCATGCCACACCTTTGGACATACTACTGCTAAGCTTCATATTTCCAAAACTCTTGTATATTTCTTATCTGTTGGAAATCCTCAGTGTTGTGCAGGGTAGGCTCCAGGCTGGTAAGGTCAGATGGTATGAACTTGTTATTCTACAACTCCTACAGAGCTTGTATTTATACTCTCCAGGCTTATATCTAGAATTTACTACAACTTTCTCTTTCTCTCAAGCTTACTCATCAACTCACGGCATGATGCCGGATTGCCTTTCTAGAACTTTCCAGCAAAATCCCAACATTATCCATACTCGTACATTTGCGTATGAGTCAATTCAACGACGGAGTTAGAGATGTTCATTCCCTTCACTCAACGACCCTTTCAACTCCCAGAGGAAATCTGTATCCTCCCTGTTTACGAACCTAAATGGTGAACCAATGTCAGGAAAAATGGCCATCGACAAGTTTATACCTACCTCGTCAAAAATACCCATTTCCAACAAGCTTTTATTGTGATTCCAAAGTGAGCTTTGATTCTTGCCGTCTCGAACACACCTAGCAACCTCATCGGCCTGGAAATGCCATCCACCTTGACGTGCAGAAGAGGCCATAAAGCGTCAATTTAATGAATGAATTATAGATTCTCACCCCCGACATATTCAAAAACCCTTTTCTCCGCCTTTGTCACTGATCCCTCGTCGTCGAAATACTCCACAGTGTATTCTTTCGGACAATAAATGGGAGGGTATATTTTGATGGTGCCCCGTTCGAAACGGATGATGACGCCAGGATTGACGGAATTCAGGTTGATACTGCAGCTAAGCACAGCTTGAGCACGAAGCTCAGCTGTATCAAAGGTTAGAGTGAATGCCGTATTCGAATCTACACCCGTCAAGGGCGTTTTGAGCATAGACGCAGAAACAGATGGGGCGGATAGCTTGTTGTCAGGATGCTCGTATAACGCCATGATCGCCTTTTGTAAGGGATATCAGTGCAGTGGTAGTTGTGGGAATAAAGTGAACTACCCAGACAAGAGGATAGGGCCCGCTTGGGTATATCATTAAAGAGGTATCACGTAGTCTCTGCTGGTACTTACAGATCAAGCAAAGCGCCTCCTCCCAAAGCAGGATCCAGGATACGATGTGTCTTCGGAATTTCTGTAACCGTCAGTTATTGAAAACGCGCTCAGGAAGATCTCAGAATAGACAAACTTTGGATGTCAAAGTTTCCAGACAGATCAGCCTGAAGTACTACCGGAGGTCCCAGACTTCCGCTCTCGATTAGTTTCTTGACCTCCAAGCAAAGAGGTTGGAATCTCGTCCAAACGGCCTCCATGAAAAAAACGCCCTCGTCATCTGCAGCGGATAGAAGGGCACGAAGTTCATGACCATTGCTAGTAACAGGTTTCTCGCACAGAACGTGTTTACCAGCTTTGATAGCGTCGAGGGCGTTCAGATAATGACAAGTATGGGGTGTTCCTGAACATAGCTTAATTTCTTCAAGCAGGACAGAAGAGTCAAGATTAAAGCACCAATATAAATTGCATCAACATCCTGAATAGCAGCTCTAATAAAGTTGATAGTCATCGAACATGATTTACGCACCTTGTCAGCGTAAACCTCTCTATAGGATCCATACGCTTTGATCGACGAGGCTCCCCCAGCATTTGTGTTAATAAATTCCTGGGCTTTCTCGGTAGTCCTTGAGCCCACAGCAACAACTTTGTGGACTACATCGTGAACATCGCGGCTAATCAGAGGTCCTTATTAGCGCAATATGTCGATGGCTACATTATGTCTGCGAACGTTTTCGGGTCCACCAGTAGGTCCTTCGAAGAAAGCTCAGTAAATCTGCAAAGATACAAAAGATAAATACCTTGACAAACGCAGTTGCTATCTTACCAGTTGAAATAATTCCCCAGCGAAATACGAAAGTAGTCATAGTTAAATACGAGTGTTGATCGATCACATCGTTGGTGGCGATTGAATGCGGCTCTGACGGCCCGAATTTTGTCCGTTCAATGATTCCCTCTCTCGAACAAATACAGGCCTCTCGTCCAGGGCATTCTCTGGCCGATGCGCTCAACATACTCTTCGAACATTCCCCAGTCCTCATCTCGAACCTCTCCCCCCAGCTCACTAGCATCCTACTTACGCTCCCACCACTGCGCTCATACTCTCAGCTAATCGATGTCTCGCTCAACCAAATTGGCACGTGGGACCATAAGATGAGGGCGCAGTTCATTTCCGGGCATCCAAGAATCGGAGAGAACAAAAATCTCTCCAAGCTCAGTGCCAAGGAACAAGGAGCGACTTCGACGACCGCCGCTCCACCGCCAGAGGTTCTGGCTCGGTTGGCGCACTTGAATGCCTGCTATGAGAAGAAATACCCCGGCTTGATATACATCACATTCGTTAATGGAAGAACGAGAGCTGCCATCGCAGAGGAGATGGAGGACAAGTTGGGCATCGTGCACTCCTTATCTCCTGACGATCCAATAGTCGCAGACATCGAACCCATTGCGATAGGGGGGCCGGGTTGGACTTCAGAGCTTGATAGAGCGGTGGTAGATATTGGTCTCATCGCGAAGAACAGACTAGGCGCACTGGGGATAGAATGAGGTATATCTCGTGTTGTCCATGTACTATCATCATTGTCAGCCAAATATACAGCAGAATCATCCAGTAAATACAGAAATCCCAATATCACAGGTCCAGAAGTAATATATATTGGAAATATTAGGTTGCACGTTTGGCTGCGGACACAGAGCTGAGACGTGCTGCTCGCCGCTGAAGGAATGCTCGTTATCGATCCTTGTGACATAGCAAGACGGAAACACACCATGAGGACATTCTGCTTCCTTATACGCCATTCAGGATGAATATTATCCATCTCTTCCAGCATCTTCTGCACTAGGGCGCCTCTCTCCTCTGCCTCCCGTAAGCGCGATTCCGCCTGTTCCTTGAGCTGTTGATTCCGTTCCCGGATTTCCTTCAGTCGCATTTCATGAACCTCTTTCTGCTGCCTGACCCACGCATCACGCTCCCGCAACCGACGAGCATGTTCTTCTGATAGAACTGGCTGAAATCCGCGAGATACGATTCTCGTACGGACATTATAGTGCTACCAGACGGTCAGAAAACACGAGACGGCTACCATGTATTGCCTCACCGTTCGTTTGAGTGGATCACTGAGGACCTCTAGAGCTTCTTGAACCTAGTGATTATCAGCAGCATCTAGCTTGATAGCGTAGACATACGCCACCTTATAGAATCGGGCTTTGGCTGCCTGTTTTTCCTCTTCAGACGAGCCAGGATCAAGCTTATCTGGGTGAGTTTCCAGTGCCTTCTGCTTGTATGCCCTGCGAACTGTTCACGTAAATATTTATCAAACTCTTGTACTGCAGTCGAGAAGGATGTTATACCTTCTTCCGGTGTTGCATTGGTGGAGAGTCCTAGGATATCGTACAATGTTTCTGGCATCGATAGCTACTTTGATAAAGGCATAAAATTGGCAAGTTGAAGTTGAAGATAAATATTTAGTGGAAGGAAGGGAGATCCAGTCAACTTCAACTTCGGTGTTTACGCGACGCGCCGCTGATCACGTGTTAGTAATTGGTAAATGAAAAAATAAAAATAGCCCGCTTCTTAGACCATCGAATGCAGGTATTCTTGAATGTTCAAGTACTCTAATTTTTTTTTACTTAACCCGAGACTCCGAGTAGGCACAGAAACTAGAACGTCTAGGCTGCGCGAATAAAATCTTGGTAATCTAACACCGAGTACTTATTTAACTTGACGACCAAACATGATGGGCTTAGCTATGTCGTGGCCCTGTTATTCGCTAAAGCGTCAGGACTAAGCGTTCATCCTTTGCTGTGATATCCAATGCACACCGGAGCTACAAACACTAAGGGCATCATGAAATACCTCCGTAGTGACATCATCTCGTCCCGAGTATCACATTCTCAGACCAGTAGCTGATTTCAAAAACATGGAAAAGTATTTAGTCGGTTACCATTCCGTTTCTTCTTCATTAAACTTATCGACCCCGCAATGGTGGTGTCTCGGCTTCCCTTCTTTTCGGTGGTCGCATTCGGGCAGCTCGCCAATGTGGTTTCGGCTGCCAATGTCTTCGCCCATTTTATGGTTTATCCTCTTTATTGTTGACATATTATGAATCTCATCTCTGTTTTAACTAGGTTCAAAACTCATACTCATACTCCCAGGATGATTGGGCAAATGATATTGCTACTGCTCAGTCAATCGGCATAGATGGTTTTGGTAAGAGCTCATGTTGTCTATGTAGTAGTTTATTTCGCTCTAAACTCTTTGCATCTAGCCCTGAATGTTGCCAGTCCCAGCGGCTACGAGCCTGATCGCATCGAAAACGCGTACGCCGCAGCGGAGGCCGCGGGATTTAAGCTCTTCTACTCTTTTGATATGGTCTCTGTCAGTGGGGCATGGTCATCGGACACTATTGCGGCCCAAATCGAAAAGCATGCGACATCTTCAAACACATTTCTATGGAATGATACAGTCCTCGTCTCCACCTACGCCGGCCAGGACAACGGGAATGACTTTTGGGTGGCTGTAAAGTCTACGCTCTCTGACCAAGGAATTGACATTTCTTTTGCACCCGCCTTGACTTCTTACCGGGATCCCTCTCTGACCGAGACGATGTTGTCCACCTTCACGTCAGTGGACGGCTTCTTTAACTGGTAGTCTTGGTATGTTCTTTCTAGCCGCATGACTTTCCAATCACCTACGTTCTTCTTCTGCAGGCTTGACGATGGTACGTAGTTGGTCCTAAATCGTAACAAACACTGATCCTCCTTTGCTGTCGTAAAGTCAATGAAACGCTCACCGTGGGCACAGATCTTGCTTACAAGTCTGCGATCAAGGAAAGTCGAACTGGTCCCTACATCATGGATTCGTCAGTTTAGTACAAGTCCTTTCTTCTGATGATCATTCGTTCCAGCTGTATCACCGTGGCAATTCAAAGATATCAGTGACCAGAACTGGGTTGAACAAAGCGACACTCTGTGGAATTACCGATGGCAACAGGCCATCAATGACGTGCAGCCCGATATCGTTGAAATCGTGACCTGGAATGACTATGCAGAATGTAAGCCGTGTTTGATTTTTCTATGCACGAGACACCAATTCACAGCATCAGCTCATTACATCGGCGATATCAATCCCAACGTTGCGGTAGGCACAACTTATCCAATTCTAAGACGCCAATCTCAAAATTTTATCAGCTGTATGATGCCGCCGCCCATATCACTGGCATTGATCACGCCGCATGGAGAATTGTAGCTCAGTATTATATTAGCTACTTCAAGACAGGCGCTGCCCCTGCCATTACCGTATGTAAACTGTTTATGATCATCAAAATCCGTACCTGCTACCATTACACAGGAGGACCAAGTAGTTTTCTGGTACCGCATCCATCCCCGCGATACGACATGCTCAGGAGGTACCCAGCCCCGCATGTACGACTTCCCTGCGGACGCAGTGTTCGCCTTGGCGATGCTCGCCGAGGATGGTACCGTTGCTGTCGACATAGGCAACACCAGCCACACCGAGTGCACCGCCAGTGGAGGCCAGCTTATCATGGGGATCACGTATTTCCCATCTGAAGATAATCAGACCCCTGCGGTTAGTCTCATTCGCAACGGCGCTACGGTAAATTCGACAAACGGACAGCAGGTCATTACGACGAGTTGTTCATACTACAACTTTAATCCTGTAGTGGGTGCTTTGAGTGCCTGAGTTTGTGATGCTTGATCGCCGTCGATTATACCCTTATCTATCTCATATTTATACACTGATTGAGACACCCTTATTTTTTGCACATGCGCTTGTGCTCCTTTCAGTCACTAAGTTCAAACTAATCAGTTTAGAGGCTACGGCAGACAGAAGGTTGGTAACTTATTCAACCTGGCATTGCCGATTTAGAACATTTTATTAAACAATGGGGATATGCACAGACTGCATTTGCAGAAGTATCCTCTTCTCGAGCTTTGAAATCCGCTACAACCTGAGTCAGGTATGCCATTGTGTCTTGCGTTCTTTCCCCACGCTCATTCCCGAGCTCTAACCCGTGAGGTTCCCAATCACACTCCTGACTGGTTCTATGCTGGATTTCATTGCGTTGCGCCTTTGGAGGAATGGCACGTCATATACAGCATAAACTATAACGAGCACGCCATGACCGAGACCCCCGTCTCTTGAGTGTGTGAACAATTTCCAAGCCCACTGGGGCCAGTCTGCGACACTGTACAATCTGTTTTATAAGGAGCAATATCGCATCACAATCCTCAGGAAAGATGAAGGTCTGAAATAGCTATGCGAAGATGTCCCCATCACGGTTAGGAATCGACAACGCCATCACGGGTGAAGTGACAACAAAATATCTTAACATCGAAAGACTGAACATAAAAAGGAAGAAATCGAATAAGTTTGATTGTGTGCAACTCATAAGCCAAAGTCTATATCAGCGTTGAGTACTTATCAGCCGATTGAACGTGAAGCTCTCACACCTTAACACGAACAACGACTGTCGTGGCTTCTAGACCCTTACTCTCCACGTCGTCCAGGGCAGTGAGAGTAATATCTCTTGCAACATTATCTACGAACCCAGCGTACAATGTGGATGGTGTCGGCATTCTAGCACAAGCACCCACCAATCTAGAAATTGAAGAGTAGACGTCAAAGAAATCGATACGCGTCAATACATTGGTCTTGAGCATGCTTTATTCATCGTCATGCTCTTCGGAGCGAGCGGCCATGAGATAGAGCCATCGGTCAAAGCCTACAGCCCTGAGAACAAGGGATCTGAAACTACAGGACGCCTCAGTGATATCGCAATTGTAGACAAGAAGGAGGACGATACAGTTATGTCTCCTTCGGCAGCTACTGTCAAGATAAAAAGATATACGTTGAATAGCCAGGCGGGCTGGAGTTCGTCGTGATGATCATGGACAAATATCCGTACTGGAGTTTCGTGAAAAAGAGGGAGATCACTGCCTTTCGGTTCGTTCAAAGCATCACGGTATTGAGAATATCCTCAGCGCAATTCATGTATTTTCGACGTGCCTGTTGGTTCAACTTCTCAGCAATGTCGAGTCTAATATTAGAGAGCCACATAGCGAGGACAGAACGAATCATGTCCGTGATAGCTTCAATCTGCGTGGGAATATGAGTAGGCAATAAAGAGAAAGAGTGTGACTTGCCATCGTTTGAGACTTTGTGCAGAGAATATCAACTTTTCCCCCGTCGCGAAATGCTTCCCAACGGGCCTACTGATGAATATTTCTTTGGATATAGAGACAATTTCCATCGCGGTACACTGTTCGTCAGCAAATGCACTGTTCGTCAGCAAATGCACTGTCAAGGGTCTGTTCGCTTGATTGTCCTACCACCGGAAGCATAATAGAATGATGGGAGTGTAGGTAGTAGCTGTTGGCATCGACGAATTATTTGCTTCGCCACCTCGTGCCTTTTTGATTCACACGTCGATATCCCTTTCGTAATGGCAAGTGATGCAACTCCTTGATAAAACCATTTTAGACCCGAGTGCAACATATCAATAGCAAGCATCAGGTAACAGTGAAGACACGAAAGTGAAGCCTGTCGTTGAGGCGAACGACACCAAAGGCCTTGACAACGTTACCACTTACAACGTCGAGAGAATGCATGGTAATGAAAGATTTTTGACAATACATATAGCTGGTCCAAGAAGAATCAATATGCTTTCAATCTCAGGAGTGAAACAATCACCAGACGTACCCAACGATCTGTCAAGTGTTTATCCTGCCTTACTTCTCTCTACGGGTAAAGCAATACCCCAAACCAGTATCCGCAATGTCAACAGTCTGCCAATTCCACCAACTAATAATCCCGTTATGCAAGCGATGCCCATGAGGACATAAAGAGGGTAGACGAGTTCAAGAAGGGATAGGATGGTCCGCGCCGGAGTGAAGACCACGATGTCCAGGGCCACTTGTGTGAATACGATGAGCGGCGCAAAGACATAGATGAATACAGGAAATGGGGAGAGAAGAATGACGGGATACGAGGCTTTGCTGAGTGCCCATTGTACTGCTCGAATACTCGTCGTTATAGCACCTGATAGCAAGGCGAGATACTGAGAAAAGAGAGGCAGGAGAGGCAGGAGGACGTCCAATAAAGGAGCGTTTGAGGGCACGGTCGGTGAGGGATCCATGGCAAGGAGTAAAATAGGGGCTTACACGACTTGCTGCTGACGTTATTAGTTATTATTCTTTCCCTTCCTTACCATGGATGCAGTCGAGCGCGCCAATGTAGAGCGCCAAAAGCGATGGTAAGTAGCCAAGCCTTCGAAAGCAGTTTGCTCATTCTTTTCTTCAGGGTTAAGGACCAGAAGGTCGGTGAGGGAACATATGCCGTAGTCTACAGGGGTATACTTCGCTCTCTCCCTTTCATACATTCGTACCAATCATTCTTTCAGGGAGAGAAGCCTCGACTGGACGTAAAGTTGCCATAAAGAAAATCAAGGTCGGCCAGTTCAAAGATGGTCTTGATATGTCTGCGGTTCGGGAGGTCAAATATTTGCGAGAGCTAAAACACCAGAATGTCATCGAGGTAAGTCAACTTTTTTTGTATTTTTTGCTGTCTGATACGTCCCAGCTATTGGATGTATTCTCGTCCAAGACGAATTTGAATCTCGTCCTAGAGTTTCTTGATTCAGACCTGGAAATGATAATAAAGGATCGGTCCCTCGTCTTTCTTCCTGCAGACATCAAGAGTTGGATGGCTATGACTTTTCGGGGACTCGAATTCTGCCACAGAAATTTTGTCTTGCATCGTGTGATCACTCAGTTCTACTTATCACTCTACGTCGCCTTACACGCATCTCATTAGGATCTCAAACCCAACAATCTACTCATTGCATCTGACGGTCAACTGAAAATCGCTGATTTCGGTCTAGCCAGAGACTTTGCTGATCCTGGCTACAAAATGACATGTCAGGTCATCACGCGGTACTGTTCACACCATTACAGTCTGGTATGTTCTAACATGCTTCTAGGTGGTACCGACCTCCAGAACTTTTATTCGGCTGTCGGTATTACGGTACCGCAGTGGACATCTGGTCTGTCGGTTGTATATTCGCCGAACTAATGCTGCGAACACCCTATCTTGCCGGCGAGAGTGATATGGATCAGCTCAAAACTATATTTCGCGCACTAGGCACGCCCACGGAACAAGACTGGCCAGTAAGTGTCGGAAAGGAACCACTGTATCCTCGTCTCATACTGTCGACAGGGTCATACAAAGTTGCCAGACTATATCACCGTTGGTCAATTCCCAAAGACACCACTCCGCGACTTGTTTACTGCAGCAAGTCCCGATGCGCTGAACTTGTTGAGTAAATGTCTCATATACGAACCGCGGAGACGTATCAGTGCAAAAGACGTCAGCGACAGCTCCCTGTCATGGCTATTAGAGATACTGACTTCATGACAGGCTCTACACCACCAGTACTTCTTTGCTCAACCGCATCCCTCATATCCTTCCAAGTTACCGAAGTGTGCCACACAATTAGCCACTGCCCAGCCGCTAGAAGAGGTTGATGCCAACGTTGACATGGAGTCCACTGTTGCCGGAGGCAAGGGTGGTCCAATAAAAGCAAGACCCAAACGTAAACTCAATTCTCCTTACGACGACTCCAAGAGTAGATCCATTGCTCGACGCTTAGATTTCACACAGCCAATACCAGGCTCATAGTCACAAGTGGAAAAAAGCAAAACTGTCCGCCCAACACTCCTGTTCATTCTTTTGTAACTACTGTAGCTACGATTGTGTAAGATATACAACTGTGATAAAAGGGAAACTGGATGCGACAACGTGACGATGATTGCAAGAAATGAGGGAAAGTGGACAGTAGAAACGGAGATTCGAGATCAAGAAAATAATTTTATCAGGCGCGAGGAGTCTCGCAGATTGCACATTTGTCGGTTCCTCCCTGCGTCAACATACAAGCAGAACACTTCCATTGATTCGCAGCGGCAGCTGGTGGTTTCATTTCCGCAGTTGCCCAATCAAATGTCGCCGCAGGAAGAGCAGGTTTGGGCTTTTCCCGGCGTTCGCCACAAATGTAACATTTCTCCGCGTCAGGATCCGTATTGGTGAGTGAACAAGTACCACAGGTCCATTCTCCGGCTGCCGCCTTTGAAGGTGGTTCGATTCCAGCACGACTCCAGTCAAAGGATTTAGGTGGAGCTGTGGGGGCCGGGGCGGCAACTGCAGGGGTCGTAGCCGGTGACTTCGACGGACCGGCCAGCGGGAAGAGAAAGGCAGGCAGCTCAAAGGTAGAGGCAGCCTTCGCCCTGCCACGCGCTTCAGCATCCCATGATTCAGACGACAATGGCTTCGGTGAGGAGGATGCAAAGCTAAAAGAAGGCAACGACGATGGTGAGAGTGCCAGAGCGGCTGCCTTTGGGTCAGGAACACCGAACGTGGGGGTCACCGTCGATGAGGAGGACGCAGAAGGGGTTGTCGGGAAGGAGAAGGTTGGTGCAGGTATTGCCGTTGGGAAGGGGAACGTATGAACTGGCTTGGTGTTTGCGCTAGGAAGAACGGCAGCAGCAAGCACTGGGGCAGGGGGAGGAGAACCTGGTGTTTCGGGCTGGTAACTGAACCTCAACTTTGAAGGTTCTTTAGGAACATTCGAGGACCTCCCAATGCGAGCAGAACTAAAAAGGAGAGGCGCGGGTGCATTGGATCCGTTGACTCCATTCACCTTAGTTTCAGGCTTTAACATTTCAGCATCCTTGGAAGAGATGGAAATGGTGGCATGATCATTGACAGTGGGCTTCATCTTCTTGGAGATTCGCTGGTTTTCATCCTCATCCTCATCTTCAACGTCCTCGACGGTGACTCGGTATGATTTAGGTGCAGGGACAGGCTCAGCGACCACGGCGGAGGTAGGCGGACGGGATCGTTTGCTACCCTGAATAAAGAAATGAGTAGGGAAGAAGGTGTTTTGTGATGAAGGCGAACCTTAGGTACAGTGGCTTCAATAATTGCTTGGGGGGAATAAACCTTCTCCTTCTTCTCTTCTACAGCTTGCTTCTTTGGGGTGGTAGCTTTCTCCATTACTCTTGGTCGTTTCGGTCTTGCTCTAGCAGAGCCCGGCGTTTGATAAGGATTGCTGATATCTGGTTTTTTGGTAGGCGTATTATCTTTGATGAGTCCTGCCATAAAATTTGCCGCACTGGACTGCTTCTGTGTTTGCGGTGGTGACTCGGGTGAACCAGATGAACTTTGGCCCCAAGCTTGACGCAGAGGGGACGGAATCGTAGGTGTCGTAGGCTTGGGAGGGGCGAAAGTAGAGCGGAATCGAGGGGTTGAGGTGGAAGCGGGTAGTCCATTAAGTTTCGACGGACTTCCATTTGTCGCAGGGATGCTGGTGGACGAAGTGGAATCATCAGAGTCTCGGGAAATAATCGATACAGATTTTGTTCTATAGAGGGGTCGTGGCACCATCGAAGGGGACGGCGTTTTCTGGAGAGTAGCGGCGAAGGATCTCCTAGTGCCATTACTCACGCGCCGTCTCTTGGTATCTGCTTTCGAGTTGTCCGTGATAGAAGCCGACAGAGAATGGTTCAAAATCAAGCGGTCTGGAGTCGCACGCGACGGGCCAAAGGCTGGGGATCGATATCGATCCCGAGAACGAACCTTGGCGCTGCCGCCTCCTTCCCACCTATAAGCCCCGTTGGGATTCTTGGTAAGCATCTTGGACGGAGAGCCAGAGGCCTCAGAGTTCGCAGCTAAGGCTGGCGAGGTGCCACGGAGTGGCGACGGGCTGGCCGTAAAGCGGAAGGGTTGCCGTTCCCGGTCTGCAATAAAATTAACGTTGAATAGAAGTAGTAAAACACCGGAAAAATGACCCACAAGCAACAGCCTCCATGAGTTTACTGATTAAATTATCTGCGTCCGCCGATGGGAGAGTTTGGTTGCGTCGATCATGAAGGTAGGCGGCGACACTCTCCAGAGTCGCCTCGGTGGAGTCGAGTGGTGGCATGGTTGCGAAAGAAACATTTGACGGTGGGGCAGGGATAGTTTGGGGGAGGACTGGGGGGTGGACGGGAGGAGGGGGGGCTGACGCGCCCGAGGCATCGTCACTATTCGTGTTCGAGGGCTGCGTCGCCTACACAAGAGAACGGTTGGATTGACACATAAATACCTAGTACTGGGAAAACTCACTACTTGCCCTGCATTCGGTGGCGGTTGAGGCGAAACAGAAGGGTCAGCCACTGGCGGTGACGGCAGTTCATCCGTTTCCATATCATCCCTTGACCGCAAAGGATTGAGATAGTGGAGAATTCCCGACAACGACCACAGCTGAGAATTTTCAGGTAAGTGAGAGTCATCAACAAATAGGAGGATTGTGGCAGACCGATTTTTTGGGCTCAGGTCGAACATAAGGAGAGGATCCCCGATGACTGCGAGAAGGTGTGGTTCGAATGGCACTCATGTTGATATCTGGGGTAGTACTGAGCCTCTAACCGGATGGTTGAGGTGATATAAGGTGGAAAAGTACAACACCCAAAAAAAACAAGGCTGCGATGTGTCGGCAGTGGCACAAAGACAAGACAGCTTTAGGGCCGGAAAATCACGTGCTCACAAACGAAAACGTCACGCATAACCATCACGCTCTTCTCCGTAAACGTTACGATGCCGGAGAAGGTCGTAGAGACAGCGTATCCCGTCATTGACACAGACCCTCATGCCTATCGGGTTGTGAGATACATGCGACCCTCCGACTTTGGCGCCTGGGCCGCTGTTACTGCCACTTTTCCCGCTGCCTTTTTCGCTTGGGGTATGGGCCATTTACTTCGTTCAGCGGCTTCAAAGGTGTTCATGATCTTCCAGAGATGGCAGACCCTTCCTCAATGACGCAGAAACAGCTGAGATTTGGCATGCGGGGAGCTGGTATTCTTGGTCTGTTCGGTGGATTCTTGCTTGCATACCAGCGGTCCAGTCGTGAGTAGCATGTCGCATTAAAGATTATCTGCTATGCTCAGCGTTCATTCAGTTCGCTTCTTTGGAATGTCCGAGAATAAACGAGAGGAAGAGCTGGATTTGCAGGAACTGTCTCAACGCGCGAAGGAAGGAAAGTCATTGTACGGGGAATCGCCTCAGCCTCAATGGGTCCAAAATGCTGCCCACCAGAACTCCGTTTGGTCACAGTTCAAATTCTGTGCGTTCTGGACTTTTATTCTGTCTTTTCGCCTTACCCAAATCCTATTTTAGCTGCTATCCCCATGTAAGTTGACGTTGCCACGGTATTGCTGGGTAACTCACCGCATACAGGTTTAACCTGGTCAATCACCCTTACCACGGCACCGACACTGCAAAGTATGGAGTGACGACAGAAGACACCACGTCAAAGTAAATAGCAAGCAGTGTGTGGCTTTGTCTCGCTTCGTCGCATGGTCACCTTACTAACATCCTTCGAGGCGATGGAATGTTTCTAATGGTAGCGTAGAACAGTTGTAGTGGCGCCTCTCGACTCGCTTATACGCATCTAATTCAAATCGGAATAACCTCGAAAAATGTTGAAGTAAGAGCGGTTCATTGTCGGCCTCTGGTCGACAACCAGTGACAACGGAGTCCTCGCGCAGCAACGACGAATCCTTTAAAAATGGCCTACTACATGGGAATTAGTTGTAACTCTCCAATGGCGCTTACTTTTCGACTCATTTCTCTAGTAATTCCTGCTCTCGCTGTCGGTGCGTCAGCGCTCGATCGTCGAGCTGAAGGTGGTTATATCCAAGAGGCATCTGGCCTTGCCTCTTTCACTACCTACTCTGGATGCAGCTCCCCAGGTCTGCTTCTTCCATGCTTGTTTAGTTGTGTATAAACATCCAGCAGCTTGCGGCGAATCTGTGACCGGATATTCTGCCGCTATGAATCAACTTGCTTATGGTGCTGCAAGCGGCGATGGCGCAGGCGATGCGTGCGGGCGCTGTTTCACCGTGACCGGTAAGGAAGACACTCATTGTTCATACCTTTTTTGACTTTTTACAGCGACCGCCGATACCTCCAGCTCTGGTTACACCGGACCTTTCTACAGCATTGTTGTGAAGGTCAGATCATTGAAACTTCTTGACATACTTAGCAATTCTAAGTGGCACAACGACCCTTTAGGTTACCAACCTCTGTCCATACACTGATACGGTATTTGCTCTCCTTGCTGCCCCAACGCGCTATCGATGATGCAAATTCAGGAATGGTGTGGCCAAACCACCAGTGATCCATACAACTCTCACGGTTTGCCTTACCAGTGAGTCTTTCCATGGGTCCAGCGTTCGCCTTGTATTTATTCGTCTTTAGTTTCGATATCTGCGCCGACGACGGGGCCTCCGATGCATTCTTCCCCTCCGGTCATACTGCTCTTTCTGGGAATTTTACCGAGGTTTCCTGCGATGAGTGGAGTGGAAGTGACGGAAGCAAGCTGTGGGATACTGGTTGCCTGGATGGTGAAACAGCTGATTTCTGGCCGGCGGTTGGATGCGGTAACGTAGGTACGTGTGATCATTGCCACTTTTCTTTCATGCATTTGATGTACCCTTTGAAGGTACTGCCCCCAGCTAAATTGGATGGATCTGCATCAGCAAAGATGTACAAGTACGAGAGGAGCTTTAGTGGCTTTCGCGTGGTCCTGGAGACTAGTATCTTCTTAGTCTTTTTGATACATAGAACAACACTGGATTCATTTTTCGATGTTCTATCAGTCCGTCGTGAGATTTTGCAAAGGTTTTAAGGCACTTCTAAGTACCTACGAGGAAGAAGGACTCCTGATTTGGTCAAATATCCGGTTAGTAGCACGCGTACAGGATTCCCTGATCTCAAGCTTGTTTCGTACTGTCATGCTAGCATTTCCTTTCCCCAGGTGGAAAACTGCATCTGGAGCAGCTAACCTCGCTGTGAACAGCTATCCTGGCTTGAAAGTCAGGAAGGCTAGCCTCATCACATCAAACATATTTCTCTCAGATTATTATACAGCTCGCGACGAGAAAGAACTCGTCAACCTGGGCATCACTCATGTTGTGTCCGTCCTCGAGCAGGATCCCCATATCCCCAGATGCATCTCAGAAACGAACAAGCTGAGGATTCGAATAACGGATAGGCCAGACGTTGATATCTTGCCTCACCTGGAGCGAACGATCGAGTTCCTTCGCCTGGCCCTAGAGGAACCAAGCAATAAAGTCTTGGTATGCATATCCTCAATTATACATTACAAGCTCCTCATTATTTACGGTGTTGTAGGTCCACTGCTTTCAGGGAGTCAGCCGCAGTGCAACTGTAGTGTGCGCATATCTGACTTCGACTGGCATGTCGGCGAAGGAAGCAGTGAAATTCGTCAAATCGAAGCGTGGTATTGTGCAACCCAACATAGGTTTCGCACGGCAGCTCGAGGTATATGCCAAGCGCTATGCGAATGTATCACAGTCTCGTCGCAAAAACACGTTTGCAAGAAAGATAAAGAAGCTGAAAATCAGTGATAAGGTTGCCGAAAGGATACGGTGGCTAAAAGGCAAGGAGGCAGGACTTGTCGAAGTAAAGGAGGTGGACAAGTGACATTCCTGAATACCCCTGGTGACCTATCAATATGTTCAGTAAGAGACAGCTCACGCCATGGACACTCATGATTCTCACCAAATTACGGGCATAGTTTTATTCACAAATCAGGATTTAAGTCGAGGTCCAGGTCAAAGAACTGTGGTTGAGGAGCACGGAGATCTTGCCTGTATGGGTTCGCCCCAGGGCCCATCTGGTTCGCGTCGGGGCCTTTCGGTGACACGGTTGGTGCTGGATCAAAACATTTGAGATGCGAAATAGACTACAGATTCGGAATAATATACCTCCAATAGAGTGCGTTTCTCCGGGCAATCCAAGTGGTGCCTCTGCGTTAAGCCGACCCCGACGCATCTTTTCTTCATTTGGAAAAGGTGGAAAGAACAATGGCGGAGGAGGCTGGCCAGGCAGGCTCAAATCTGGCATGTTGGGAGGGGCAGAAGTAAACGCGCTTAAGCTTTGTGCATAAGCCAGCAGCTGAGGATAGGGAATAGACCCTAATTAACCAAGTCAGCATCGCTGGTGCCTCAGTGAAAAGAAAATGACGCGCCTTCCTTTGCATTTTCAATGGCCTGCACTCGCTCTTCACCTTCCTCAAGCATGGCCTCCAACTCGCGCTTCTCCCTCTCGAGATCCATGCATATTTCTCGCCATCGAGCATCGAGCTCAAGGATCTCGTTCTTCAATGCTTCAATCTTCCGTTGTCTGATCTGATGTGAATGTGCTATGTTCACAGCAGAGGCCAAGGCCTGGTCGCACGAAAGAAAGGCAGAAACTGGTGGTGGTGGTGGCGGTGGTGGTTTCGTGACAGGTGAAAGTGAAACAAATAAGGCCTGCGATAATGTTTGGAGCTCGGTCAAGGGCGCGAGAAGAATAAAGGACATGGACGACGCATCGTCGCCAGTGACCTTGGCCGACATGGTCGTGGTATCAAAAGTAGTATTTGCGTCGGCTGTTTACCACGATGTCATGTCACATTTGAACCACTACCCCGAGGAATCCTACGCGCTAACAGAGCATGGTCAGCTACATGATACGAATAAGTACTATGCTGCGAGATACCAGGATGGCAGCTCCATCGACTGGCTGTACGAAGAATCTCTAGAACGAGAACGGACACAGGCGCAGCGCTCACAGCACGGCGTACGCGGCCTACTCCTTCCATGGATCGACTCGGCTCGAATGTGGTTGGTAGTAATCTTGACTGGCATTGGAGTAGGCCTCGCTGGAGCATGGCTAGATGTTCTTGTCAAGTGGTAAGTCGCCTTTCTGAGCCGCCTTGTGACTGTCTTGAACAAATGAACTTCAAGGTTGGGCGACCTCCGGGAGGGTCGTTGCACATATGGTTTCTTCTACAATCAGAATACTTGCTGCAGTGGACTGGATCGTACGCGCCACACACGTTTGTTCGTTGCAACTGGGTCTAAAGTTTGTCTTAGCGGGAGAACTCTGTAGGGAATGGCAAACGTGGAACGAAGTATTCAATATTCGCTTTATCTTCGTGCAGTCACTGTTACATTCCTTCATCTATGTATCTCTTGCTGTAAGTAAGCCCTGATCCCAACGTCTGTGGCTATCTGAAATCTATTCTCTCAGGTCGTGTTCGCTGGAAGCGCAGCAGTCTTGGTGAAGACATACGCTCCATAGTAAGCATTGCGTCTGCGTTCCTTGGACGGCGCCAACTACTTCTTTCAGTGCCTTTCACACCGGTATACCTGAAATTAAAGCCGTACGGATATAATCATACTCTCTTATTCGAATACGTTTGAACAGCGCGTAGATTCTAGGTGGTTATATTCTGGATGCGTTCCTAACGCCGTGGACACTTCTCATTAAAGCCCTCGGCCTGGCGTTAGCTGTCGCCTCTGGTCTATCGCTCGGCAAAGAGGTGTGCAACATTCGTCCTTCTTTGGACACTTCCAAATTGTGGTTACAGGGACCGTTAGTACATGTAGCGTGCTGCATGGCCTTCCTTCTGTCGAGGTTCTTCAAGCAGTTCAGATGTAGTGAGGCACAAAAACGAAAGATTCTGGCTGCTGCCGCTGCCGCGGGTGTGTCAGTGGCTTTCGGTAGCCCACTCGGTGGAGTCCTATTCGGACTCGAAGGTAATTTTATTTATATAGTGTGAGCTTGAAAGCCCATCTGCTTATATAGAATTGGACACCTTCGCAAGCGAAAGTGATGTACTGTGGAGAGGTTTCGTAGCATCAGCCATAGCTGCCGTTGCCTTGCAATACGCAGATCCTTTTGGAACCGGAAAACTCGTACTTTTCCAAGTTAATTCCTTGTCTTTCTATCTTTTAATTTCACTAACTCGATTTCATTTAGGTTACAAGTGTGACAGGCGACGCATGGAGAACGTTTGAACTTGTAAGTTTTATACCAATCTTGAATCGTACGTGATTGACTCGTTTCTCAAGATTCCCTGGCTTGGATTGGGTATCATCGGAGTAAGGATGCTTTACTTCTTTTGAGTTCCATGTTCAACAATCTCCAGGGAGTCCTTGGATCCCTGCTAATCAAGCTCAATGTCGAGTTTGCCTTGCTTCGTAGAAATTCCATCTTGAATGAATGGCCTGTCGTCGAAGTCGCGGGGGCAAGCGCTATTACTGCTGCTATTAGTTACCTGGTAGGTATTGTGTTCAGTTCTTGTATGCAATGGTTCCAGACCGTAGCGTCTTTCTAGGTTGTCTTCGCGAGGTATGTTATTCATACGCCAATGCGGTCATTGTTTATCACCGCGACGTTTCGCAGAGCACAGACCTCTGAATTAGTGTCCAATCTTTTTCAAGAATGTGACCCGTCGAAAGGCGACTACCACGGTCTTTGCAAGTGAGCGGAAGGTCCTTATCTCTGATATATATTGATTGTTTGTAAGCCCAACGGCAATATGGGAGAATGTTTTTCTTCTGATTCTGACAGCAATCATCAAATTTGGGCTTACTGCGTGGACGTTTGGAATGATGGTACTACTCCTTTATTGATTTGGGCCAAATGACTTTTGGACGTCGCAGATCCCAGCAGGTATCTTTCTTCCTACGATAGCGATCGGGGCATGTCTGGGTCGAGCAGTTGGTCTACTGACGTAAGTATGCTCCATTTACTTTCTATGAGTGACCATGTTCAGTTGGCGATAGGCAAGCTTTGCACAAGGCATATCCTACGGCATGGATATTTTTGTCTTGCCCTCCAGACCCGACTGTTCGCTGTGTTTCTCCGGGTTTTTACGCAGTGATTGGGGCTTCTGGCATGCTGGCTGGTGTCACTCGTATGACAAGTTGGTCGCAGAATCGTTTCCTCATATCCCGACTAATATCCCCTATAGTCTCTCTGGTTGTCATTCTATTTGAGGTAATCAATGTCATGTTTTTTTTGCGCATGCACTCATTCTTCTGAAGTTGACGGGTGCGCTTTCGCATGTGCTACCCATCATGATTTCTGTCATGACTGCCAAATGGGTCGGGGACGCGTTTGGGAAGGATGGAATTTATGCTGTGTGGATCACAATGCGAAAGTATCCGTGGTTGGCTCCTGGTGATTACAACGACGAAGGAGAGACCGGCGCTTGTATTATGAGACCAGTGGAGAAACTCGCTGTGATTGAAGACGGTCAGTGTACTCCTATGACTCTCGGTATGTTCTTTTCATCGCTATGAATGGTGTATTATTCAATTGTATGAATGTTACCGGTAGGCAACCTTTTGAGTACATCACCCTTTCATGGTTATCCCGTTGTCTCTCAAGGAGAGTTGATGGGCTATGTAACACGCGATCAGTTAAAATCAGTCATAGGTGAGTCCTATCTGAGCAAATCCCCCCCGATATTAATCATTCTGATGACAGATAACCTCCCCGAGGGACAGCGATCCAGAAAATGCGTGTTTTCCCCTCGATTTACTCATACGCAGGAGGAAAGCATCAACCTATCTGACCTTCTTGAGCTGTCGATCATGCAAATTCGAAAGGAAGTCCCTCAGGAATTAGTGGTGAAGATGTTCCAGAAATTGGTGGGTTTCCAAAAATAGTCCTATGGCTGAAGCTAAAAGAAAGAATAATGAAGAACCTCCGACATATATTGTTCACGCAGGGAGGTAAATTAGAGGGTATGGTGACAAAGACAGACGTTGCTGCCTTGTTGACGGCAGAGTTTCCTCATACTGGAGCGCTTTCTCCTCGTAATATCCCGACGTTGTGACATATCATTTATTAAAATAGAGGGAATATTTGACTGACGTGTCCGAGTCATTTGGTCCAGCTGCCTTGTGCCACGGTAGGCGAGACCGGCAACTCCCGAAAGTTACCACGAACCCACCATCTCAGAACGCGTCCTCGGACCTCCTTGTGCCCCCGCTCGCTCTCCTTTTTCTCCTCTTTCGACGACCCGTTACATTCTCTACCATGTCGCAGTACAGCACCAATGGCGACGTCTTCGGCTCAAGTTCCCAGTTTCTTTCACCGCCAAAGCCCAAAGCTTTATACCGTAAATCGCCTTCACGACAAAGCCTGAATCCACGTCGTTCGACGGCCTCCCTACGAAGTACCTCTAACCTTGCGCATGCCATGGACGACGACACTTCCAATAGCCGCTACTCGTTGGCCCATGAACTCGCAGTAGCGCTCATGCCAGAACCAAGCGCAGGCTCCATGCTCCTTGCCGAAGAATTTGGAATCGAGTACGACGAAGGCGCTGAGGGCATAGACAAAACCCTCCACCATGATGAAGATATGCATCTCACTGCTGGCGGTGAGCCATTGTCGTTAGCATCCGAGTCAGAGTCAGATTCATCAGTCAATTCCCCATTCGACGACGGTCTAGACGACATAGACGATTCCCATTCCATGTACAATCCTATTATCGACAGCCCGTCCGCTAATAAACATCGACGGCCGGAAAAGAAGGATGCCATGGAAATCCTGTCCGAAAACCTAGAATCCACCGATAAATTCCTCTCACATTTGCGGCACATTGACGTTGACATGGGACCTTCGGCTTCACAGCAGCCAACGTTGGAGAAGATTGCTACAGATGTTATACGTAGAATTAACGACACCGTTAGGGATCGAGAAGGTCAGGTGCGGGAACTGTTGGAGTACGAAAGAGAACTACGGAAGATTGCTGGTGAGGTTGGCGGGAACGATGTGCTCGGTCAGCTGGAAGAGTTTACGCCACCAGACGACCTCGTTGATGGGAAGCCGCCTGTAGAATTACCTCACTCGGGATCGCGGCATTTGGATATCGTGGAGGAAGAGCATTTTTCGAACCTTTCAAATTCTAGTGATTGGGATATGGATCCTGATCACCGTCATCTAGGAGATTATTCCGACGACGAATCTGATACTCCACTTTCACCCTTGAAAGATTCCTTCCCGCTTCCACCTACGGTAAACGGCCCTGCTACACCTGCTGTGACAATACCACAACTAGCACATCTGCGCTCCTTCACGTCTTCCCTTGTCAGTTCCCTTTCTACTATCTCTGAGCAAGCACAGGTCAATGGCGCAGCTACAACAGAAGCAGGACGGAAGATACGAGCGCTGAAGAATAAATTAGGAGGGTGGCGGACGGAATGGGACAGCGCTGAAAGAAGTCGACGGAGGATTGAACGGTGGGAGGCTGGAATTGTGGATGGCCCGGATTCCAGTGGGGAAAACACGCCCGTCGCGTCGCCGATGCGCACTAATGGGATGAAGAGAGCAGATGGTCGCCAAATCGTTCGCGAGCACTTAGATGCCTTTCAACTCGCTTTAACAGACGCGGGTATGAAGACTCAAGCCATCATGGCATCATAATAGCCTTTAAGGTTGTTTAATTTTTGTCTTTATTGCTCTGTCTATTTCACGGCGCATCTTCCTACATTTTTATACTAGTCTGCTTTACTGTACGACCTCATCACATATAGCACACTTTACGCTTTAGATCCATAACTACAGCTGGGTTCTCATCCATGCTGTAGGGCTTCATACTTATCTGGTAGATGGAATCGATACCCCTCGCGTTAACCGCCACATTTGATCCTGTTGGCTGGATTAGAATTTGCGGCGACTGTACGGAAATTTAGTACTAACCAATTCGTTCTGAATGGCAGAGAAGCACTTGAGTCTCGGTGCCGAACATATACAAAATACTTACCGTGCATTGACAGCTTCCTTTCTAACAGCGCGCTTGGGGTCATCTAGAACTTTCGCCAGCTCTTTGACGACTTGCGACTTGTAAGGATGCAAAATATCATAACGGACGATCTGCGGCAGGATGGCCAGATACCTGGCTGCTGCGATTCTTACTCTCTGACGATGATTACCATCATGACCAATGCGGAACCGTAAAGAAGATCTACATACCGTCGAAGGCGTATCTTGAATCCCACTGTTCTTCAGCATCTTGGATATCAATGATGGAACATGTTCGGCGACCAAGCTTTGTTCAGGCGTATCTCCTTCTGCAGCGGCAATGAATGTGTCAATGACATTCACATGTACACTTTCATCGGGGAGGTCGAGGCCGCGTAATAGAAAAGGTATTAACTGAAGACATAGTAAAACCTCCGACACTAGGACGAAGGGAAGTAACTTACTATGGGCATCTGCTGGGAATACAATGGTTTTGATATAGATTTAATGAGAGATGCTAGGGCTACAAGATTAGATATTTGTTCGTTAGGTTCTGAAGGAATTATCAGTAATCGCAGCAGAGAATGGAAGCAGTCTGCCTACTGCTCGTGTCGTTTGCTCCGGCAATGATACGGGGCAGAATCTTGCTAACAAATTTTTGCACGTGTAGTATCTGACACAGTTTTGTCAATGACGGTGGGTAGTCAATGACTGTCCCTTACTTTGATAACGGATCGATTTCTTTTCGACAACACATCCCCAGGCTCAACAATTTGGCCGATTGCCTTGGCTGCATCCCAACCAATACTCTCGTCCCCAAACACGCCAAACAGCCGATCGGCAAAATCAAGGGCTGACGGATGACTTTGAACCAGAAGCGCTTTGCATATCTAGCACACTGTGAGTGCAGAGTAGAAAGGCAGGACACGAATGTTACATAGACCCAAGCCGCAACACCCTGCTGGCGCTGAGGTACAGTCAATGCCGTATCAGACAGTCTGTTTGATTCAAAAATCTCAAGCTGCTGACTGAGAAATCCAGAGGCATCTACAAATCCTTTAACGACATCCACTCGATAGACCGAGGCATGGACTTACCTGCTGTATGCTTATTGAGAATAGAAGTTAAAATCTTCCAGGCAGCTTCCCTCTGTATGTCGTTGTCCGCTGTCATGAGACTCCACTTCAAAATGTCGCTCAGAAAGCCGTCCAATGAAGAAACCGGTATGGAAACCTGGGAAACTATTAATTCATTCCGCGAACTAGAGGAAAGAATAAAATATACTTCTTTTGGTGCTGCAATAATTGCAGCGGCAAACAAAAGTATCAAGTTCTTCAGTGATGTTAAGGCAGAGTCCTATATCTAATCAGCACGCGGAACAGGGCGGAGAAAAAAAAAGCCGACCTGGAACGGATGGAACACTATATCGGCAGGGAGTTTCAGTTGTCCTTCACAAATACTAGCGACGTTTCCGGAGATAAAAGCAGAAAATAAAGCAACCATAAACGTTTGATATCTCCTTGAAAGGGATTCAACATAAAGCACAGGAAAAATCGTTTAGTCTTACTCCACCGTTAGGCATTGAGCTACTAGACTAATAATGTCTCCAGCCACGAGGATCAGCCTAGGATCTGTGGCTATCACATAACCGCCATCAGAGGTTAGGGCTGAATAAATGAAAAGTTTGTATAGTCTTGGTACAAGTCGGTCAATGTATTTAGGGACATCGACGTGCTTCTCGTCGACTTTGGAAGACAACGTCTGGGCGATAGACCTGAGGATGGCATGGGCGTACGCAGCGCGAGGTTCAGAGTCAGCTTCAATATCCGTGGCGGAACAAAGAAGCTCGACTCTCGTAGTCAGTCGTATCATAAAGACTTCGAAAAGCTCTGGTTGCTGGCAGAGAATGCTCAGCGCCGATAAGATACGCCGGTATTTTATGCGATCTGTGACTGCGGCCCTTGAAGGTGCTTGGTCAGGGAGGTCGTTGAATAGAAGAGGCAGTGTTTGGTCAACCACATGGTGGGGAGATATGGTAGTTATAGTTGTCAAGAGTTTCAGAATATCACTGTAAAGCTCCTTAGATTGGGCGCAAACGAGACGGCTCCTGCATACCTTTCATCATCATTTTCGTCGGTGTCCCCCTGCAAAACCTCGTTGGTCTTGTGTACAACGAAACCGAGTTCTTCATCTGTAAGTAAATACTTGGTAGACACCATTCCCAAAAGACAAGCCAAGGCAGGCCGTCGAAGAGAGTTGGTTTGGAGACCCACGATAACGATACCAAGAATATCATCTTTGTATGGCAACAGCGGAGGCTCTATAACATCCGACTGTTGAAGATTGGACACGGAGTCCCTCGCTGCAGCGATCAGGTCCGACAGTAACAATAGATCAGACAATCGACTGGCAGTATCTTCAAGTGTAATGAATAGTGCAACTAGATGCGGTGCTGTCTTCGAAATGGTGTAGTGGGCAACGGACGCTAAGAAGGGTTTAGCTGGAAGGAAGAAGAAAACTTGAATGAAGAGACCAACGGGTAGTCGACATGAAAGCACAAAGAACCTTGATCGCAGGCCTTGCCTGACTCTTTTCAGGTTCACGAAGAATCATGATACATTCCTCGCATGCGTCCTGAGCTAATCCTTCGCTATCTGTCTCAGAGCCATCTTCTGCCCTCGAGTCTGCCAAATATATGGTCTTCACTAAAGATTGCGTGCAGTTTAATGCCATGTCCGCTGTGATGGTATCGGTCGGTTGGAATATCTGGTGGTAGCATGATTAATTTTACTTCACAAAGAAAGTGATCTAAGTCTCACCTCCAGCTTAAGCGCATTCCAAATTTCGCGCGCAGAACTTCTGGCCAAGCCAGCACCATACACAGGGAAGCATTCTGTCATACTCTGCAATGTATCCCTCTGTATATATTTGCTTCAAACATAGTCTCGAGCAAAAGGAGACATTTAGAGTTACCTTAGTCATGGGTGATCCGGCTATGAGCTTTTCCAAGAAGACAGGTATAGCCATTGGACCAAACGCAGGCGTTGCGCTCAAGCAGCGGCTTTGGGCCTAGTAAATGCGTGTAGCTCGACTAGAATTCAGCGAACTTACCGAAGATTGCGCTTGAGGTCATCGGCACTGATACCGTAAGGGTCATTTGGAGGCGGTCGGAACGTGATAGGGAAGTAACAGAACGTTATGTTGAACAAATCCTCAACAAAAGCAGATATATCGAACTCGACGAGAATCACCCGTGCGATTGCAAAAGCGACCAAAAGATTTCTTGGATCCTTTTCACCATCTGCAAGTGCGACATAACCGGCCAAAAATTCCTTGTTCATCTGCTTCAAAGCTTGAACATTGTTAGTTACGACAGAGGTGTTTCAAATGGGAATAAATCACCATCTCTGTGGCGTGCCATGAAATTATCGATGATAGAATACACGACAAGCCGTACTGACTGAACGAGTACTTTCATTTTGACATGCACGAACAAACTACAACCACACTTGTCAGATCTGGCTCAGTTTCAACTCTCAAACTCACGCTCGGGTAATGGCCGGGACGTCTTCACTCGTGCAGTTAATGAGACGAGAAAGGGAAAGTAGGCCCTTCAGAGCGGGTATTATTGTCTCCGTGTCCTCGAGTTTGGTGCAGTAGAACGTTGCAAGGACTCGTACTGAAGAAAAATGAGCGACTACAGAAGATTCAAGAACAATATACGCACCAGATTGGCGATTTAACTTTTCTGGAGGAGATCGGTCTAGTACCAAAGACAGGAATTCGACGCCTATATGACGAGTTTGAACGTTCAAGATTTATATACTGGGATCGCAGTATTACCCTTGGTACGAAGACTGTCTTCTTCAGCTGTTAAATATTCTCCCAAGGCCTTCACGACGTTCAAAAGGGACGTTCGACCATCGGATACCTCTTGGCGAAACATCAGAATGGACGAGCCTGTAGCAAGAAATGCCAGACGCACCAGACGCCGTCATTACAACCTCCTCGTCCCGGCCAGATGCCATCCATGTACGCACGAGCCGCTCTGTCGATTCCATCAAGCAGGTCAATGTCAATGAAGATCAGAGGAAGGGAGAGCCACGTGCAACTACATTTTTGTCATCGACCACCACGACGAGCAAGCCCCCAGTCGCGTCTGCAACTCTCAGAGAAGGCGCCGAGGACGCGTCTCATGCTATCTCTGGGTGCACAGGCCGTTCGATGTGTCAAAAAGCATCGTACTCCATGGCTTTCCCTTTACTACTCGACATCTCGCAAGCCACCGCCTACAGACCTGCCCAAGGATAAATGGAATTACAATACCAGTCCGCTCTTCAGCCCTATCGTCAAGGATACCAGCAAGTATCCTATCGTCACCGCCAATGGCCTCGAATCGAATACGACGGCACCACGCAGTGTGAAGATGCTTGCTCGGGATTTCATTGAAGATTCCCTGTACAATCCGAACTATGGTTATTTCTCCAAACAGGCTACTATTTTTGATTCCAAACAAACGCCTTTTATCTTCTCAAAGCTCCGAGATACAATGGAATTTGAAGCAGAGGTTTCCAAGAAGTATGCGGCGTACGAGGCGGACCAGCAGTTGTGGCACACACCAACTGAGTTATTCAAGGTTGGCACACTGGTCCTTGCCATGTTATCTCTCTCCTCTGACATTGTGGCTTAGCCTTGGTATGGCCAGGCAATTGCCCAGTGCCTCGTCTCAGAGTACCTGTTGAAGTACTTTCCTTACGAGGACTTCATCATCTATGAAATTGGTGCTGGAAATGGAACCCTCGCCCTCAACATCTTGGATTATCTCCGTGACGAATATCCAGACGTATACGAGCGCACCCGCTACACCATTGTTGAAATCAGTGCAAACCTTGTTGAGCTTCAAAAAAACAAATTGCACGATGTACACCCATGCGTGAACGTGGTGCATAAAAGTGTGTTTCATTGGGACAAGCGCGAACCCGCTCCGTGCTTCTTTATGGCCATGGAAGTCATCGTAGGTCGATGCCGTCTTCAAGCAGGCACTCTACTGATGTCACCTAGGATAACTTTGCACATGATGTTATTCGATATGACATGGAGACTCTGGAACCATATCAAGGAATCGTTGTTGTTGATGATGACGGTGACTTTGACATGGTCTATACACCCATCAGCGACCCTTTGATATTAGCTTTCATGGAATTGCGCAAAACTCTCGCGCATTCTCCACCTATCTCAAGGATATTCCAGTCCTCGCAGTTGTTGCGAAAGATTTACCGCATGCTCCCATTCGCAGCAAACATGTCTGTAGAGGAATACATCCCAACTCGCCTTTTGAGTCTTCTACGAACGCTGCGAAATCATTTCCCCCGCCATCGTCTCCTTCTATCAGATTTCTCGCACCTTCCTGAAACTATTTCGGGCGTCAGCTCTCCTGTTGTTCAAACACGTCTCAAGAACACAACGATTGCTACTGATACACTCCTAGTTCGCCCGGGGGCTTTCGATATATTCTTCCCTACCGATTTCGATAGGCTTAGAGACATGTATGAGTACACTCTATCCCAACCACCTACGCTACCGCGTTCATCTTCCGACAATTTTCTACCCTCACGTTCAACACCGTTGACATCGCATTCCTTGTCCTTGTCATTGGGGGCCGACTACTTTTCATCCCGCCGTCGGACCGATCGCCGAACGCCTCTCGATGGAGTGACATCTGCAAGTGGTCTGCCTGTGGGAGAACGAAAATCAAGCGTGTTCACGCATGCTGAGTTTTTGGAGACATACGCAGACCTGTCGCAGACAAGGTTGCGGAATGGGGAGAATCCCATGCTTGATTTTTACAAGAATGTCAAGTTTTTGTTTTGAGTAATGGAACTTGTAATTTATTGTATTCAAGTCTTGCGCCAACCAACCAATGACAAGAGATGGATTCGCGTTGGAACATTTTTCCGAGTGGGGTAACTATGATCGCGGCAGCCAAATGTGGGGTACATATACTCCGATCCGGCGGAGGTAAGATGTGTGGAAACGCCGACCTTATTCACCTTATTCTTTACTGTCATCACATTGTCTCACCAGGCCGTATTTTTTTCTGAAAAAAATGGTACGTGATCACACAGGTGCTTCAAAGTCACCTAGTGTTTAGTCGTGTTCTCCAGTCTGCTTACCCGGCACTTGTCATGGGAACCCTCTGTCTCTTTGGAGGCATAACTGGGTTCGCAAGGACTCGTTCAGTGCCCTCAATCGTCGCCGGCGTTAGGTAACACTTTATTTTCTGTTGCAAGCTGAGATTGTTGAATTTTTGCAAGTGTGGGTGCTCTATACTTGTGGTCAGCAGACAGCGTCCGCAAAGGCACACCCAACGGGTTGGAAGGCGCACTAGGTTAGTAGACTATGCACTTCCCCCCGTGGAAGCAAGGCGCTGATCACGTTTTCAGGTGCATCTGCACTTCTCTTTCTGTCATCTCTACCACGAGTCGCCAAAGGACCTGTACCTGCCATTCTGACCGTTACCTCTGCCTTGGCGGGAACTTGTAAGTTTCAACTGCGGTCACGACGACTGGTTCTTATTTCTTGTTTCTTGTCCCAGACTATGGAAGAGTCGTGTACAATCTGAGGCAGTAGTTTATTTCAAGATCGTGGCTTTCGACTCGCGTACACGTGATTATGCTGCATTATTTATTAACATTCTTCAGCTTCTCTTTGAATGCAATGATCGATCGTTTTCTTGTGTTGGCCGACGACTGCTTGACAATGATTCAATTGTCTCTTTCCACGTGACAGCGGATGGCTCAGGAGTAAGGATGCACCCAGGCTGACTCACAAGAAGAACCGGGCCAGTGAAGTGACCGGCAAAACGATCGCGCAATTTCTCGAAGACTTGGTGGATCAAATTCGAGTCATTCAAGCATGCCCAGCCTTTTTTGATACCTCAAGGCTTCAAACTAAATATTTTAAAAGCTTGAACTTGCACCGACATGTTCGCAAATGCCGTTGCTGAAAATGCTCTGGGCACTCTAGGTATGTCCTTACTGTGCCGTTCTCACCAACTGACAGTTAACAACCCCAAGGAGCTGTTTGTTGGACTATCCAGCTCTTACCACAGATCCGGAAGAGTTGGCGAGATAAATCCACAGAGGGACTATCACCCTGGCTCGTGTGCGTTCTTCATCTTATCGCTATCATTGTCAAGCTGACGGATCTTATCTCAGTCTTATTTGGGGCCTTACCTCCATATTCTTAGGAGTGTACGCCATCGTGCAAAAGCTCAGCATTGCCCTCATAGTACAGCCCCAACTCTTCGGAACATTATCCTTGGTGTCTTGGGGACAGGTGCGCCCCTTTCTTAACGTGATTGCACCAAGTCCAATCTGACGTCCTTAGTGTCAATACTATGACAATAACTGGTCTATCAAGCGCTCAGTTCTTACGGTTGCATCCATCATCAGTCTCATAGGTGGTCTCCAAGCCGGGATGGTGTTCGCCGTCCGGCCCTCATACGAACATGGCAACCACCGCGGCGTTGACTTCTTCGGTGTCTTCGCCTCGGTCATGCTCGCTGTCGGTCTGTTACCTCAATTTTACGAGATTTATAAATACAAGGAAGTCATCGGGATTTCGATACTTTTCATGCTAGTTGATCTGTCGGGAGGTAAGCCAGCCCACTGCAAATCCGCATATACATAGAATTAACTCTTGTTTCAGGGGTTTTCTCTCTGCTGTCCTTGGTTTTCAGAGATTCCTTTGATGCCCTTGCCGGGGTTGCTTACGGCTTGGTCGTCGTAAGCAATACCCACAACGCTTATTGTTTTCCCACTCATGTTTCCTAGGTTCTTGATGGAATGGTCATCCTTCTTGCAATGATTCTCAATCCTCTCGCTCACAGGCGACGTCAACGAGCTGCCTCTGAAGAGGAAGTATCGGTCAGCGACATAGAGACTCCAACTTCAACTTCGACTCTGGAAGAACACGATGTTGATCCCGGCCCTTCGAAGGAGCTACCCGTGAAGAATGATTAGATTGTATAATGTCTACAATGTAAGCTTAATAAATAGAGATGACACCAATAGATCCCCCCCTTCATCATACTCGTGTACGCTCCTCATCCGTGTTACTACTACTCTCGTCCGTTCCAAATTTTGAGTGACCGCGCGAGCTAGAGGTGTAGGTCATTTCGTCATCATCGAAGAAAATATTGTCGTCTTCCTCCCCACTAACAACACCGCCTCGGCTCAAGGATGAAGGCGGCACACGCCGGGGCCTGCTTGGAGGAGCATTGACAAAATCAGCAAAGCTAGAAATTGAATTCCCAGTGTTGGGAGTGCGAGATGGCGTGCGGTAGAAATCTTCTATCTCTCCCTCCTCTTCGTCACCGAGTCCCAGCGATTCGTAAGCATGGTTAGCTGAGAAAGACGGCCCGCCGGTATGCCTCGTCCGCGAAAGCAAACGATAGGAACCCTTTCGTAAGTGCGTTGCGTACGAATAGACAAGGAGGATGAAATAAATCTTCAAGTCTGGGTTAGGCCCAGCCACTTAATAGAGACCGAGACAGTACCTTGGATAACCACCCCAGTGCAATGACCGTAGCTGCCATTCCCTTTTCGTGATTCCATATCTTCATAGCGGCCTCTATACGCTCTTCTTCACTAAGAGGCTGACCGGCCATGATCGCACCATTGATGATTTCAGTCTGAGCGGGCGAGTTTGCCTGGCGGCTCCCATCATGAGGCGTCTGGAACCACCAAATAACAGCAAAAAAGATTGTCCATGATGTGGAGAAGACGTGGTCAGCGAAATATAGATGTGCAAAGTAAAGGGTATGCTTGGGGTCTTCCTGTGGTAGCGCCACCAATTAGAGCCGACACGGGGTAATAGAGCGCGATTCTCACCTCCTTGACAGCGTTGAGGCCCCAGCCAAATCCCAGCAAGGCGACGACGGAGTATATGTACAAGCTGAGTTGAGCAAAGGAACCACCGGCGCCCGTGACAACGGCAATGAGACCGTATACTCCAGCAACCTTGTTCAAAAGCTGTGAACCGTCAGATTCTCGATGCTAGGCGCTACTACAGACGACGCACAACGAACATAAGGGCGACGATGACACCAGTTTTTATGTCGAGGAGGCCGAGGAAGGAGCTGAAGGGCCATAGCCGCCATTCGGGACGGAGGGTAAGTTTCATGACGGGTGGGTGTTGAAGGAAAAGGAAGGGGCATTACATAACGCACTCTCACTTCGACCTGCACCAACGACGCTATAAATTTTTCTCGACAATTTTTTGTTCCGTATTTCATGGCCAATTATTTTTCAAACCATTCGCAGTCTCGTTTCCTTGCGAATTCTTCATCACCAACGACCTCCCAGCAGCCCCAACAACAGCCACCACCACGTTCCCGTCTGCCAACATCCAAACATTTTTCGACCTCCGTCTCGACGAATTCTGTTTCTGAGCATTCTGTTTCAAAGGAAAAGGCGATCAGCAGTAATGGGTCGTCAGTGAATGTCTCTGTCAGTGTACACCCTCTGAGAAACACGTATGTTCGTAATCTGCCGCCCCAAATACGATTTCGGTTGCTGACATCTGGGTCCAGGTGGGTCTTTTGGTTCCGGCAGCAAAGAGCTCCCGGAAACAAGATTGCAAGCTACGAAGAGGGTATTAAAAAGATTTCTGCTTTCAGCTCGGTGCGTCCTTCCCAGGTAACTTCAATCTCTTGCCACCGACCGATACACATAGGTAGAGTCCTTCTGGTCTCTATGGACACATCTATCTCCGCCGTCATCCTTGCAACCCACAACAGACTATCTGCTGTTCCACAATGGCATACGACGGCCTGTTTGGGAAGATCCGTTAAATTTGTCCGGAGGCAAATGGATAATACGACTAAAGAAGGGTGTGGCGGACCGGATCTGGGAGGATCTCGTCTTGGCGATTATCGGAGACCAGTTCGATGTCTGTCGTCCGTCAGAAGATGTAGTGAAGAATGTCGGGACGGCCGATGGTGGAGATGGGCAGACGGATGGGAGCTCTGAATGGCCAGAGATTTGTGGATGCACGATCAGTGTGCGGCAGAGCGAGGATATAGTGAGCCTGTGGAACCGTGTTGACGGCGATATCAAGCTCCGAGAAAAAATAAGGTATGCTGTTTGTATTAATGCCTGGTGAAAGACTGACGTTCTGTCTAGGGACACGATACGGAGAGTACTGCACCTGCCTCCTACGACTGTAATGGAATACAAGTCGAATAATGGTACGAATCTTTCTCTCCGTCGGGTTGGACATCCTCACAACAGTACCTTCCAGACTCGATGCAAGACAAGTCGAGCTTCCGCAATTCTGCAATCGACAGGACACCGTTACCGTAATGAGGATCCTTTTCTGGTGTACGGAGATGGAGGCGATGAAATGAATAGTATTAGTTTACGTTTTGATAAATGTTTTTCTGAATTCATCATCATGTGATAGTGTGACGGATCGTCTTTGCCCCTCACCGCATTATCAACATGAATAAGTCAGAAAAGCTCATGACCGGCGTATGCAGCTCTTCTCATCTTTGATAATCCGCACAGCATCCTGCTTCCCGTATATATATAGAGTCCCTAACCGATCTCTTCCACTTCGAACGATGACTACAGTAAACAAGACTGACGACGAATGGAGGGCTATCCTCTCTCGCGAACAGGCTCGTCGTCTTGCCTTCTTCCATGCTCAGTTCTGACGGTTCTTTCAGTTCCGTGTGCTCCGTCAGAAGGGCACCGAACGCCCCGCAACGGGAGAGTACAACCACCACAAGGAAGAAGGCATATACGGCTGTGCTGCTTGCGGGACCCCGTTGTACAAGAGCGGGACCAAGTTCAACGTACGGCTTATGTTTTGTATAATATAATCGACGTACGGCTCACATGTGTGCAGAGCGGCTGCGGCTGGCCAGCGTTCTACGATGGTAGAGGAATCCAACACATGCACATTTGCCATGCACTTAATCAGACGTTTTGTTTAGCCATCCCGGGTGCCGTGACTCGTCATGAAGATAAATCTTTTGGTATGTCCCGTATTGAGATAACATGCACTGCCTGCGGAGGCCACCTTGGGCATGTATTCAAGGGAGAAGGATACAATACTCCCAGTACGTCCCTTGATCACACTTGAGACTGTTGTTCAACATCACTTCTAGCCGATGAACGACACTGTGTCAACTCAATATCACTAAATTTCTCCAAGTAGAAGGTTGTATAACAATATATCACGGCGGTTCCCATGACGTTGAAATTTGACAAATATCGACACAAGAGACGAATATTCTTATTTAGTTTTGCTCATCGGCACAGGCTATAGAATCCCTCCAGATTGAATGATTGCGCTAATGATCCTCCCCTCCCCTCCATTACTAAGCTTGAAGGTCTGTGTCGCACATATAATACCAAAAATATGCGATAGAAACCCACCGTACGGAACATGGCGTTCCTGGGAGGTAGCAAAGGGTGGTAAGGTGGCAGAGGATTGGGAACTTGCCAATCTGGGGGAAAGGTTCATTGAGACTTCTGCAACGGCCAGTAAAATCCTCGAGTGAGTAGTTAAATGTGGCCGTACAAGCCATGGCACGCACCAAAATGAGTCGCGAGTAGGAAATCTGGTAACTCGACGCAGCACCTTTTACATGTCACGAGGCATCCAAACCCCACCCACGCTCTCTATATTTTCGGCGGAAAGGTCGTCAATGAACACACCTCCCGTTCTGTTCTCAGGTGAAATGTCGATACCGATATGAGAACAAACTTTGAAGAACTCTGGCGGCATCGGGGAGCGTATACCTAATTTGTAACGCTTGTTGGGTCCAGAGGGCCTAAATCTCTACATTGAACAGTAGGTTAGACCATCGGTTAGAGCTAAATGCATCAAGGCACTTGCTTCCATGGCGACATAAGACGAATGCAAGAATAGCCTGTCCTTTGGGGCATAGCGAATGGGCGGCATTTGAGAATACAACTTCTCTCCGAGAATGGGAGCTGCAACCGTCATCAGTAGGTTTGTCAATACGCATCTCGAACAACGCACCGTTCAGGACTTTGGCGAGATGGAAACGAATTTGGTGTTTATGCCCCGTCATGAGATTCAAACGCAACAGTGACAGCCTGTTAGCCTGCATTCCGAGGTATGAGAAACTTGATGGCACCGTTCCAAACTCGTTCTACGCACCGAGGCAATCAATTCCCACTCTGTGAGACACGCAGGATCTGAAGCCTTTCCCTTCGATACATATCCATCTCGGAGCTGAAGTGGTTGTGATATAACACCGCTTGTCCCGGGTAACGCTTGAGGTGTAGAACGAACTAAAGCAAAATATTGTTTATCTATCTTGCGCTGCTGAAATTGACGGGATAAGTCCCGTGCCATATCTGTAGAACGAGCAAGAAGAAGACACCCGCTAGTTGGCTAGTGATGACCATGTCAGAAGACAGAACTTCCAACGTGCCAGAGCGCTCACTTTATCCAATCGGTGAACGGGAATGAGAGGTCCATCAAGTTTATGTTTGGTTTGTATTTCTTGACAAGCAAACTCATTAGCACAAAATGGCACGGCTTCGAACAAGGCATACCATTCAAAAACTTGTTCAGCTGGTCATCGTCCTTCGAAGATGCCTGGCTCACTAGGCCTGGCGGTTTGTTGATGACAACGACCCTCTTGTCTAAGTACAAAACATCATTTCGAGGTAGTAAATGCGAACTCTGCCTCGCTTTCTTCACCAGAGCTGCAAAGCCAAGCCTCGTCATGGACGAGTTGGGGGGAAGAGTCGGATGTCGGGCCGAGGAAAACTGCTCTTTTCGGTCCGGTTAGCTGAGACAAACTTCACAACCTTTATTCATTGTAAAGGTGGATTCCAAGGGTAGGGAGCATTTTTGTAGACCTCTGTGTAAATATTGAGACACCTCCAATTTCTGTTGATATGGAGCTCTGCTCCATCCATGAAAATGGGCCACTAGTGCATCATCTCTGTCTCAGTGCCAATCTTTAGCTGAGGCTGATTCATGAGAGACATTGGCATCAGTGTCTCAGCTTCATTGTCACCTTCATCCCACACCTCCAGGTGAGATGAGCTCTGCTCTCTCACTGTCACTTAATCCCTAACCACCAATCCCAGGCATTAAGGCTCTGTCTCTTCTATCTGTTGTCAGCAATCCCTGTTGCCTGGTGAGACTCTGCTTCCATTCTCATCTTACAAAGGCTCATTCATACAGTTTCCTGGCCTCATCACATCTAACCAATTTGCACCTAGTATTACTGTGCTCTTTATTGTAAAAGTTGCTAGTGAGTCTTTCATCACCCTCCTACCTCTCCCTTGTATTATTACAGCTGTTCACATGCTGCAATCACATTGAGGGCAGTTCTCAAGGCTCTCATTGTAGCCAGTTGTGTCTTATTCCTTGAGCAAACAGCAGAGGCTTTTATGACAGTGAACTTGTTGCAGTATAATTCTGTAACTTCAACAATGTGATACTCTTTAGATTGATTAGTTGAAAATGGTGTCAGTATCTCCCAGTTGGACATATGACAAGGCCAAGAGCTTGTGTTAGGAACATGCCAATAGGTGGGCTTTGGATTGCACACATGGAGACCAGCAGAGTATGTGGACTTGGTGAAGCTATTAGCAATATCACTCTTGAGTCAAAGCCTGAGAGATTTGAATACAGAGCAGAATTCACACAGGGAGTGGAGTTCAGTGAAGGTTCAAGATGACCCAAATGGAGCAGAATCCATCAGATTTTAAGGCAGTGAGATGAGAACAAAGTATTAGGCTGAACCAAGTTGATATTTGAACTCAGTGTCTATAATGATTGTATCAAGCTTATATGCTAGTGGTAACTAATTCTGGGTCAGAGTCTGATAGACTCTGGCACTGTCTATCCACTGAAATCAGGTTCTAGAATTAGTATGTGAAATGATAAGTGAAATACAAATGAAGTGGATATATAGTGAGCAGCTGAAGGCCAATAGAGAAAAGTGAAAATCCTATATATTGTTAATAAACAACTAACTACATATTGTAAGTAATATTCCAATCAATAAAGTAAGAAAGATGTACCTCAGTCTCCACTCAAATATGTATAAAAGACTAAGATACATTAAAGGGGAAAAAATCTTTATGTACTAGCAATCACACTACTGAATGTACCTAAGAATAACCATCATCTGAATAATCTAATAGAGGGTGTCAACTGGTGCTCTTGACACTCTCTCTGAAGTTGACACTCATGAAGTTATAATCCAGTGAACCTCATACAGCAAAGGAGATCCATTGCATGGAGCTTAGAAATAGTTTTGGTGAAGACATCTGCAAGATTATCTTCAGATAGGATGTATTTGATGTTGATTTCACAAAGTTGTACTGCCTCTCATATCCAATGGTAGTCCAGAGCAAAATGTTTTGATTTGCTGTGTCTTTTTGTTGATTTGGCAAGATCCATATGCTGTTATTGTCATACCATAGTGGGTAAGGCTGGTCCTTTATTATCTCTAACTTGTCCAGGAAGTATCCCATCCACACAGACTGTTGTCTACCATGAACTGTAGTGATGTATTCTGCCTCTGTCATCAACAATGCAACTCTTTTCTGAGCTCTGCTACTCCATAAAACTGGACCTCTGGCTATCTTGAAGACATATCCCATAGTAGACTTTCTGGTAGTTCTGTCATCTCCATGAGATGAGTTGACATAGCTGACTGAAGTGAGGCCATTATTAGAGTTGGATCTTTTCTAGTATGTGATCTTGTATGAAATCATTCTCTTTAAATATGCTAGAATGTGCATAGCTCTGCTCCAATAGATTGATCTAGAGTCTGAAGCAAAATATTGGAGATAATTTGTGACAAATACAATATCTGAATATATATTATTTGCAATGTGGTTCAGGGATCCCAATACAGCTTTATAGTCTTTGTCTTTCATAAACTGTTTTTTAGACTTAGGAATTGGTCTTGGTTGCATATCCAATGCCATCAGTATTCCAATTGGTAATGGAGTAGCTTTAGGCTTGCAATTGAGCATACTAAAATGTTCCAATGTCTTTGTGATAAGATTCTTTTGATGCAATGAAATAGGTCTATTTGAGTTGTCAAATTCAATGGTTATCCCAAGCATGCTGTTGTGCTTCTCTAGGTTCTTTATATCATGCACCTTGTCTATCTCCTTCCTCATCAGTTCATCCTCAGCCTTGGATGAAGATGTGTCAGATAAATTGTCAGTGTATGTGCAGGTAATCATTTGTTCTCTCTTTCATTTCAAGAGTCTAACATATGAGTCCACTCATGACTGGATATGGCTGAATGCTGTAAGAGATTTGTTTAACTCATTGAACTATGTGTTACCAGCATTCATTGTTCCATATATTGCACAGTGCATTTTGAGGACATAATTGCCTGGTGGTAAGTCTCTAGTTATGATTTCTTCATACTCTTATGGTAGGTTCATGTAGTTTTCACTCTGAGATTCAGCATTTAGGTACATGTCTACAAAATCTATAAGCCAGAAATCTAACCCTTGCACAGCAATAATAGCAAAGAACATTCAGAGTGATTCATATCAAATGACAGCTGCAAATGATTCAAAGTAGTGAAGATCTTTGATCTGGCTGAAACTCTTTACCACCAGTCTTGCCTATCTTTTGAATAGGCTTGTCAAGATTCCATCAAGTTTGATGTCAAATACCTATCAGGTGTCAATTGTCTTCATCTATAGTTCTCATAGTATGATCTTTCATACATCTCATTTCTCCATCCTGCAGATCTCAGCATCTATTGCTGGTATCCATAGCTCTGGCTTCTTTATTGCTTTGCCATAGTGAGAAGGCATCCACTTGTTCTTGAGTTTAGATAAGTTGAAGATTTCTAAGGCTTTTAAGGTGATAATATCTTCAGGATTGTCTTTGTTTGGGACTAGTGAAAACTTGAAGTTGTGGGCTCAGTTTTTGCCTTCAAGCTTTGTGTTTTCTTCATATTTTAAGTATTCACTGAAATCTACTTGAGCTTAAGATAGTTTTAAGATGTGTGTAGAATGAGATTGTTCATCTGTAGATCAATTGTAAACAGAGATTTACTTTGTATTATGATTTTCACCTTTTTTTCTTTTCTTTACCCCTATTCATGCTTAGTCAGAGCATCTAGACCAGCATTTAGGACTGTGGAATGACCTTAGTCAGCACAATTGACCACTGTCTTATGATATATAGTAACACCCCAACAACAAGACAATACCCCTTTTGTAGATAACTACAATACTCTAGGATAATGAGTATTATAGCACAGACACTTGTTATGTGCATGCTGCTGGCCTCTGTGTCACCTCAACCAACCATGGATTCAATCACCAAAACTCACTAGACTCTGCCTGCTTTCCATTATCTATTAATTTTATTTTCACCATTATCATTTCACATCCATATTTCACATTGTAATATCTAAACTCTGAACTTGGTAGTGAATATTGACATTGGAACCCAATGGAATCTGACTTGAAATTAGCTACTATTAGTATATAAGCCATGTAGAATCATTGTAACTACTCAGTTTGAATATCAACTTGGATAGTCATCTACACTTTGTACTCACTTCAACTCCTTCTTCCTTGTCCATCAGATTCCACTCTGAAAGATACTCCTCTTCACCTCTCTAACAGAATTTCATTCCAATTCTTGGGCCCTGACTCAAGGATGATATTGCTAATAGCTTCATTGATGCCCATGCACTCTGCTGGTCTCCATGTGTGCACTCAAGCCCATTTGATTGGCATGTTTCTAACAGTATATTCAAACTCAAACCCTTGAGTTGAAAATTTTTATCATATCCACCATATTTACCCAACCCACAGAAACTGATCCTGAACAAACTCAGCCTACCTATCACAACATGTTTTCTATAGAAGACATCCTGGCCTCCACCTCAAAGGAATAACCAGGTCTTTTCAGATCAGCCTCTAGTGGAGGACAACCTTCTTGTAGGGAAACCTACAATCACTCTAGCTTCACTGCCCACCAATCTAATTATGATGATTCTCCTAACTCTTTTGACACCACCAGCATTCCAACTAATAGAGCCCAATGGGCCAGCCTGATGTACAGTGCCTGAACTGACCCCTCAATAGATCTTTTATCTCTGGGCAATATGCATGACAGCCCAAACTCAGAGAGCAGAGGTGAAGACACTCCTACTCATACTCCTATCTAATGGGAATCAAGTGGTAATTCATCAAACTCTTTTCCAAGTGGTCCAGGCAGATCAGATAGTTCCAATGGCTCAGACAGCTCCAACAGCCCTGCAGGAAGTAACAATCCAAACCAGCAGAACATGTTCCTAGAATTCATGAACCTGTTACAAGGAGTCTCTGCTTCTCTCAATAACCTTAAACCAGCCACTATTTATACCAAGGTCAAGAAACTGAAACCATTTGATGGCTCTGACTCTCACAAACTGAAGGCCTTTATTGTCTCTCTTCAGTTAAACTTCAATGACAGATCTATTGTATTTGCAACAGATGCTAATAAGGTCAACTATGCTATTTCCTTCCTGGCTGACACTGCACTTAACTGGTTTGAACCAGACATTCTTAACCCCAATTCATAGAATCTACCAGCCTGGCAATTCTCCTATGTGGCTTTCTTAGATGAGCTTCATAGCAACTTCAGCTCCTTTGATGCCATTGGAGATGCCAAAAATGCATTAGAACACCTTCAGATGTGCAATAGAGATTAGATCATGAAGTATATAGTCCAATTCAACT